GAGAAGGTGAAGCACCAAGGTAGAAAGGATGGCAGTAAGTTACAAGAAAAGGTTCCCCAACAGAACAGAATGACGAGAGGCCCAGGGACAGCTCCGTGCTGGGCCTCACGCCCCCGGGCGGGGGGACCCACCTCTGCGAACTGCCTTGTGCCCGATGGGAGACGCTCCGAGGACAGGGCTGCTCCCAGTGTCCTGCTAATCCTGCCCCTGCACCTCCGGGAGGACTCCAAAGCTCAGGCCCTCCCTCCCGCACAGCGAGCCTCAAAGGGAAGGAACCCCGGCGGCCAACATTCCAGGGCGAACTCCGAGTGAGTGTGGGCGTAGGAGACGATGAACACATCACATCATTAAAGCGCGCACGCGCACACACACACACACACACACACACACACACACACACAGCAGCAGCAGGAGGAAGAAAGATACTGCGGCCAGAGCAGCATGAGCTCAGCCCTACTGTCTCGGAGGTGGACAGCCGGGTTAGAACTAAGTGGCTGGGTGACCTGAGCACCCAGGCCCTGCACTCGGCAGGCGGTCAGCAGCTCTGCCCACCACGCCCTCCTCCGTGTCTGAGCGGAACTGCTAGTCAGACCGACAGTTCTGATTCATTAGCTACTCAAATTCAGACTTGAGGTCAAACGCATTGTCTGACCCTTTTTCAGTAGGAATTACCTTAATTCAGAAATCATCAGTGTTAGAACTCATTCTGGGCTCACTCCACCCAGCATGGGAGGGTACGTGGGAGGCGCTCCAACAGGCGCGGAGCCGGGCAGGCCGAGGCCTGATTCCTGTGGGCTGGGCTCCAGGCCCGGCTCCTTCATGTTTACTCTCGGCAACAATTACGAAACAAAAGACATGGCCGCACCAACCTCTCCTTCTCCATGAAACGAAGGACCTGAACTAGACAGCAGACTCCTAGGCTGGGTCCTAAGAGGGGCTGCAGGTGTATGGATGCCTGAAAACTAGGCCAAGGACCGTGTGTCCTGTCACAGTCTCCCCAGGTTCTCAAAGTGATCAGAGAACCAAAGGGGGGGATATCCCGCCGATGGTCCACATCTCCCCTCTACCCGCTCCACACACAGCTCATGGCGGGCCTTGCGGGCCTGCGCCTCACCCCAAGTCTCGGCTAAGAGAGTGGGCGAGGAAGAGTGATCTGAAGGCTCCCTTCCTGGGACGAACCTCAAGCAGCGTGGTTTTGAGTCCACGTGAAACGCTGGCTCTGCTGTAGAGCATTGTTAACCCTTAATGCTCCTATTCTCATCCTGCAACTGAACTCCACACTTCAGCCAACCTAGAAACGAGCACTGGGGCCATGACTATAAAATAGGCAAACACTTATTTTTTATGTAACTTGCTATTTTGCTTTTGGAAAATATAAAATATTGTGTTCAGACTCATAAGCAATAGTCCTGCAGGCGCCAGACCCACCTGGGCTGGAGGGACCGGGTCTCCTGACTTCACACTGAGAAGCTCAGCCACGTGGCCACAGTGAGGACAGCAGGACCGAGGGCCGGTCCCCAGAGCACCTGTCACCCGTCACCGTGGGCGCCTCCGCGAGGAGGCCGCTCGCCCAACAGCCCCCCTGTTCTGTGAGGGCAGGAATCCCACTTTATGTTTTGAGCTAAATGAGACTTAACAACTTAAACTCAGTCTATAGCCTAAAAGCACAAACTAAAACTATCTGTAAGGCACTCTTCAGTTAGCCATTTATTTTTAAGTAAAATGTTCTAAGTACTTTTAAAATTGTCTTTGTGTTTAAGAGAAAACGGTTTTAGAGAAAGCCTACCACAAAACCCACCTCCTGTAGCCTAAACCAGTTACGTTCCGGACACCCTGCATATGGCTCTGTAGGTGGAGGCTGTAGTTCCAACGATGTCAAGCATTTTCACCATGTTAGATAGCCAGCAGGATTAATTTCTTTTTCTTGTATAAAAAACATATCAGAGCCTCATGTTTTTATGAACCTTAAGAACTTGCAGCATCAAAACAAAAAGCAGCAAACACCTGGGTGTGCAATTACAAGCTGCATGAAATGGCTGCTTCATGAGTGCTCATTAGTGACAGGTCTGAACAAGCTCACAGGGAGAAGCCTTCTGTGGGAGCACATTCCAGCTGCACGGGACACCCCCCCCCCCCGCCCCCGCCCTGCCCCGCGGCGCCCGAGGACACTCACCACTGGGCCCACTCGCCCGACAACAGAGAACCACATTCTGCTCGCGGACTGAACTTCTCAGTGGGAAGCTGCTCACTTCTCTGCTCCAACAGCAGCCAACACAGCTGGGCTGGCGAGACTCGGTCACCACACTCCGAGCTGGACGCGGTGACACTGGCGTTTACCCCCACAAACATCCAGACTCTTACGTAACCAGTCAGCTCTAACTTTTGCTTACTTTGTACTTTATTAAACTTTAAAAAGAGCCAGACAAATAAAAAGGACAGACTTGTTTGTCTTTTAAAGATACAAACAGGAAGCACTGTGCTGTCCCACAGATGAGCTGGGGCCGCGCTCTCCACTTCCCACAGCGCATTTCAGTCAGCGGCACACACCCGGCCCAGAGCATCTGGGTTTCATAAAACGGAACCGCAGTGTGGAAGGGGCGCCAGGGAACTCGCAGCAAAACAATGTCCCGGCTCACAGCAGCCACGCCACACGCTAATGAGGAAAAAATAAAGGAGGCCTGGGCCCAAGACAAAGACCACACAGCCACAGAGGAAGACAAAACTCAGCGCGGTGGCGGAGGCTGGCAGGGGCGGACGCACGGCAGTGAGAGAGAGAAACCCCAGCGACAGAAGCCGGCGGTGCACCAGCATCCCCGCCGGGCACAGGGCGTCACTCGCAGGGCGTCCTGGGGCCCGAGGCCTTCGCCCAGGGCTCCGAGCTCCACAGGCAGCGCCGCCTGGGCGATCCCCTCCACGGCCTCTAGGAGCCGCCCCCACCTTTGGCTCTCGCCTTCCAAGTGCCAAGCCACACGTCTAACTCTACTAGATGATATGCTCCTCATCTAGCCTGACAGGCACCCCAAATCTCAAGCGAACACGTTCAAACTGAGCTCCAGACGCTCTTGCCGGCGTGGGCGGCGCCACCTCAGTGAGAACCACTTCCACACGCCCAGGTGCAGGCGCCAGAATCAGACTCGACTTCCACACGACAGACACTCGATGTTCTCTTCTGCAACAGACATCACTTCAGCAAGTGGCTACTGCGTTCACAGTACATGTACCCCAATATCAGCCCAGGTCACAGGGGACCTCGTCGTAAGACTACCACACCCTGAGGCCCACCCGTGTACCCAAAAGGACTCCAGAGCCGCCTGTTTTCACAATAGAATGACGTCCCCTTGATTCATGGGGAGACCGCCCTTCCCGCCACGCCTCCTGGTGGGAATGAAATGTGAAGGCCGCGCAGCAGCTCAGGAGCTTTAGGCACCTGGAGGGGAGCAGGCGGCAGGGCTGGGGGAGAGGCGGCCAGGTGCAGGAACAGGTGTGTGGCCAGCAGCCAGGCCGCTGGGCAAATGGCGGGCGGAGGCAGTTCCCTCAGCTTAGGTTTGGTGAGGGCTAAGCTGCCCTCCCATGCAGACGGCACAGCTGGCACAGCTGGCGTGGACTCGGCCTGCGCCCCGGGCCAGTGATGCTGGCTGGTCCTCAGACCTGCATTCCTGGGTCAGGGCTCCATGCAGACTTCCGCGAGAGCCTCACTTGGGACGCTGCACCCACTGCCTCACCCTGTCGCTACCTCCCTGCCCATATGGAAGGCGAAGCCTCCTGGCAGCCGTGGACCCCCTGCTACTCCTTGCCTGCTGTCACGGTGACTAAACCCGACTGTGACTCTGAGCGGGGCGCCTTGTCCTAACTGCCCACTGATGCTGCAGCCAGCGGGACAGGCAGGGCCAGCGAGAGGAGGGGCAGGAGTGCCCAAGGGGGGTACTGGCAGGCAATGCCCGTGCTTCCTGCCTTGGACAAGGGGCACAGAAGAGGCTCGGAGCCGAGTGCCTACATCAGACGGGAATGTGCGTGTCCTACTGAAAAAGGGTTTTTGAGCTGGAAACGATAGGGATGGTGGTAAATGGCAACCTCCAAATCACTCCTGGTATTTCAAATGTCAGGTAGTCGAGTATTTGAAATAAAAGCTTGTAACAAATGCCAGGAAACATGGAGGTGGGGCTCCTCCTGTGCATCGGAGGGTGGTGGGGATTTGTTACCCCGGTCATTTTTCCCTTTCAAAGGGGCATTTGATTCAGCTGTTAAGCAAAGAGCCAAACAGTCTTTGGCTGAGACCCTTCCATCCAAGTCTGAGCTGTGGTATGTTACACATGGCAGGCCCGCCAGGAGGAGGAAGCAGGTCTAGCCTGAGCTGGGGCACTGTGGCCACCCTCTGCCCCCCCATGGGGGACCCCGTGACTCAGCGCTTCAGACCAAACCACTTCGCCCCAGATGGCAGCTCCCAGCTGATTCCAACCCGAAGGCCACTTAGTCCAGGTGGTTCTCACTCATCCAACACCCAGCGTCCCAGACACGGCGCCCGGCACGTCCGCTTCATCGTGTCCCTCCCCTCTTCTTCCAGACGCCCCACTTTTCTGCAGTGCCCACGAGACCAAGTGCGCGCTCCTCAGCCCGTCCGTCACGCGAATGAAGCACGGCTCTCCTTCCTCGGCTGCCCTGCAGTGCAGGCTCCGGCCCCACAGGCACGCAGCACGCCTCTGTCCTGGCTCATCACAGCCCAGTCCTGTTCACTCAGACCCCAGGGCTGCGGAAACACCGCCTCCCGCACATTGCCCTCCACGGGAGGCCATCAGCAGCACGCGGCCAGGAGGAGAGGGCGGTCCCCTAGGCCCTGCACCCAGGCCCAGCCTGACCTCCAGGCACACGCGCTCTCGCTCCACTTTCTGAGGGGAGACCACCCCTCAGCTGGCTGGCTCCGAGCACAGAGGCTCCGGCAAAGGGTGCAGCACCCCCACGCCATCTGCTTCACCCTCCACCCTCAGGCGGCCTGCCTGCCCTACCTTTGCCGCGACAATGCTGAGGCCCATTCCATTTTGCTTTTTCAGGGTCACAGTGATGATTTCGGGCTCCTTCCTCAGAGGCTGAGCCTAAAGGATGAAACGCAGGTTTATTTTAATGTGACTCTGGGTGGTGGGCACACAGTGCAATATGCAGATCTTGTCACACAGAAACCACAGCTGAAACCTATGTGTTCACGTTGACCAATGTTATCCCAATCAATTACAGCTGTGGGTATAAAAATATTCTTTATTTTAAAAAAAGCACCATTTGTTTACAGACATGGCCTGAAATAAAAACTTTACATATAAGTCGTGGGTTTAAATCTTATTTAAGATTTTTAAATAAAATTGGTATTTAAAGGCAACTTTAAGATCTTCCTGTCACAGCCATGTTCCCTGTAGGCAAGGAAGGAACCCACAGCTCTTCTCCAAGCGCCAGGCCCGCGTCCTTCCCCGCCCACCTCAGCCGCGGGACTTGCCAGTTCTGTGTTCTCGCGCAGAAGGTGGCTCTCATAGTCGGCGCCCTCGAAGTGGATCGTCCAGGTGCCCGGGGAGCGTGCGTGAGGGACCAGCCTGCAGAAGCCTGGGGGCAAGGGAAGCAAATGGCAGGACGGAAAGGCACCCTAAGCGCCATCTAGCGACCACATCTGTTTTTCTGTCTACACCTTCGCTTGTGCACTGCGGGAGGGAGGCAAGCTGCGGGAGGTGCTGCATGCACAGCAGTCCGGGACTCCAGGCGGACAGGGGACGGGAGAGCCAGAGACCAGCCAGATGTGAAGTGTGGAGGCAGGAGGGATGGGAGAACCGGGCAAGAAGCCCGGCCTCGGCTGCTGCCACCATCACACCTGTGTCTGCCGTGTGGGAAGGGGTGAGGGTGTGGTTCCGACGCGAGGCGTGGTGCAGCAGAGAGGGACACGGGTCCACCTCCAACACACCCGGTGCCAGCCCAGCTCAGGGCCCTCCTGCAGGCGCCACTTAGCACTCCCACTGCCCGACTTTCTCTGAGGAGCACCGGGGCCTGGGCCTCTTCCTCCCTCCACAGGCCACACGCCGGCCCCCGCACACCTGGAGGGCCACAGCCACACTCACTGGCATTACCAGGGGCAGCCTTGGCCAACGTTTTAAACTGTCAAGATCTCTGAGGATGTAAAACTCAGTGGTGAAAGCAGCCACTACTGAAGTCAAACCCTACACTCACCGAACGTAAGCTCCTGTGGACACAGACCCGACTCTCCTATTCCTTTTGCTTGGCCCCTGCAGTTTGGTCTGCTTTGTACTCGTCTGAGCTCCACGCTACAGAAGAGCAGCAGCCAGGGGCCAAGCCTATCTAAGGAACAGCTCCCGCCTCCGGTATCACCGAGCCCTTGCACCCACCCATGTAGGAGAACACGTGAAAGACGTAGTGACACGGGGGAGCTGAGCTGCACTGAGAGACAGCGGAGCCAGGCCTCACTCAGCACAGACCGCGTGCGAGCGCGGCACTGGTGGCAGGGCAGCCACCGGCACTTAGAGGCCCGTGGGCCGCAGTTCCCAGGGCTCCTCGTGACAGTCCCACGAGGTGGGCACTGTCCCCACACCCACTCTCCAAGAGAAACTGGAGGAGAAGGGCTAGGACCAGGACTCGGGCGTCCGTTCTGAAGCCTGTGCTGCTCCGAGGCCACGTCCAGCGCCCGCCCGCCCACACCGGGAACAGAAGGAAAGGCCCTCGTGCCGCCCAGCGAGCAGCCAGGGGTCACAGGAGGGGTGCAGACCCCCCACGGAACTGTGTCTGCACATCAGTGACTCCGTGTCACTGGGAAACACTTCCCTCCGGGTCCCCAAGCAGTGCCTTCGTCGGAAGTGCCACACGAGTGGACTGCACGCAGAACAGACTCGAGCTGGGTCAGGTTTCAGGCTCGGCAGCAACACCTACCCCGCTGGCACAGGGGGTCCAGGAACTCCTGCAGGCCGCTGGGAAGGTTCCTGACGACGTCGCAGGAGTAGCCGTCCTCAGGCAGCAGGAAGGGCAGCTGCAGGTCGGGGTCCTCCTCCAGCTGCACCTCCCGCCCATCGCTGCGCGCCAGCTCGTCGGCCGTGTTCTCGGCCACAGCCACGACGTTCTCGATCAGGTCCTGGGCAGAGAAATGCAAATTCAAACGATATGCTGCGTGACTGGGGCTGCTGAGCAGCAATTACCCTCGCATCTGTTTAGGCCAGGTGGGGGGACAACGTGACGACAGGTTCAGAATCAGCCTGTGACGCAGCAGGACACCAGAAAAGCACACACTTAAGTGAACCAAGATACTAATTACGAATCTCAAATAATGTGCAGCTTAAACGAGAAGAAACTGTTCAATCACTAGAAGATGGGCTTTGCCTCTTTTCGAAAGTCGTGATCTTTCCCGCACAATTCCTCAGCACCAGTGTGAGCAGCCCTGGAGAACGCGGAAAGACACGGGCAAGAGCTCACTCAAAGTGAAATGAAAAACTCAAAACACCCATGTCCAGGCTACCGACGTTCTTTCTGAATTACGGGTGTAAGTGACGTCGTTTGACAAGTTTCATGGACACAGGTTGTGCACACGGGAAAGGCCACAGCACAGGAAGCGAGCACATGGCTCAACGCCACAGCCCTCGTGCCTCCTCCAGGCACCGCGACCCAGGCTTCCAACTCCAGAGCCTCCTCTGTTCTCGAGTCGGACAGTCAGAGCACAGCTGGTACCTGTATCTGACTCCTGCACAAATTACGTCGTGGCATCCATCCAGGCTGCGGGGGCTCTAACTCCGTGGTCGGCAAACTGCGGCTCGCGAGCCACATGGGGCTCTTTGGCCCCTTGAGTGTGGCTCTTCCTAAGCCTTAGGAGGACCCTAGTTAAGTTAATAACAATGTGCCTACCTATATAGTTTAAGTTTAAAAAATTTGGCTCTCAAAAGAAATTTCAATCGTTGTCCTGTTGATATTTGGCTCTGTTGACTAATGAGTTTGCCGACCACTGCTCTAACTCCTTCTTTCTCGCTCGGAGCTGTACTCCCTTAAGGATACCGATGCACATGGCGTCGCTTGCAGATAGCTGGGAAGCTGTCTGGGGCTGTTCTTGAGGCCGCCCTCTGCAGGCATGAACTCAGCACTGCAGGTCGGGAGATGGGTGTCTCAGGCAATGACCTCACCTCTAATTCTCAGGTACCTGCAGACGTCCCACGTTATACACAGCCAGCTTGGCAGACGCTGGCCAGAGATGAGCAGCAGGCATGCCTGCCTCCAGGTGTTCCCAGTGAGAAGTGGGATGCAGCAGTCAGGTGCTCTGCATCCCCCCTGCTGGTCTCCCAGTGATTTACCAAGTGCCGAACCGAGTCAAAACCCTTCCTACTTGAAATGTTTATGCAGTTTCTTCTTCTACTGAACCCGAACTCATACGTCAACAGCAAACATGATCGTGTAGATTGGTCAAGTAAATAAGCTTGTTTTTAAAGTGAAAGGAAACCGTTAAATGAGTTTTCCTTTGCTTCCACCCCGCCCCAGACACCGGCGCTGCCCTTACTGTGGGGATGAAGGGCTCATCGGGTGCGCAGTGGTAATTCTGCAGCAAGGCTCGCAGCTGCAGTGAGTTCAACTTGAAGCAGGTGCTGCTTATGTTGGGAATGTCTTCGGGCGCGTACTTATCCATTGTCAGCAAGGTGGTGGCCTGTTGGAGAGAATCGGACACTGTGACGTGGGCGGTGCAGTCCCTGCATGTAAGGCACGGTGCGGCAGCTGCTGGCTGGTTCTGGGACACGGTTTCCCATCACTGACTGGGCCCATAAACCGAAGGGAAAGGCGGCCGCAGAGGGCCTCATGTCACGGAAACAAGCGCGCGATGAATTTCACTTGTTCTGCTCACAGAGCATCTAAACCGGCCGTAGGCAAACTACGGCCCGCGGGCCGGATCCGGCCCGTTTGAAACTAAAAAAAGAAAAGACCGTGCCCTTTTATGTAATGATGTTTACTTTGAATTTATATTAGTTCACACAAACACTCCATCCATGCTTTTGTTCCGGCCCTCCGGTCCAGTTTAAGAACCCATTGTGGCCCTCGAGTCAAAAAGTTTGCCCACCCCTGGTCTAAACGTTCTCTTAGGAACTGAACCACAGCCATGACCACTCGGACGGCTGATGCTGGGTCCAAGAGACACTCACTGAGATGGCTCAGCGCCCAGAGCAGGAGGCAGAGCCTGTGTCCAAGCGCACCTCCTCAGAACAGACGAAGCTGAGAAGGTAAGTGCACACGACTCGCTGCAGTGACAGTGTCACTCCCTCGTTCTGGCTTCCCTCACTTCCCTAGCTGCCCACCAGCGGCTCTCGCCTCAACCCCTCGAGCTCCGGGCCGCACGGCGCGAGAACACTCCCTGTGACCTCCTGACTTCCTGGAGGGGTGGCTCCGGCCCTTCCCCTCCCCTCTGTGCATCTACGGCTGTAGTTATGCTCCCATTCCTTTCCCTCCTTTTTTGGGCATCGACTACAAACAGGTGTCTGCTTTGTGTTTCCTGGTTTTGTATTCTTGGGAGTTACTTACTGTCTGTTATTAAATAGCAATTCCTCTCAGTAAGGAGTTATGAAATAAACATGCCTCGCGCAACTCAAGAACAGACCCTTGAAGGACAGTTACCGGCTGGCTCCCACCTGCTATGGGCGGAAGTATTTCCCAAGCCCCATGTTGAGGTCCTAACCCTGGGCACCTCAGAAAGAGGCCTGGGGGCGGGGTCTTGGTGGAACCATCACGGGGAAATGAGGTCGTACCTCCTCTGACTGCTGTCCTTGGAAAGGGGGCATCTGCACACAGACATGTGCACAAGGAGAATGCCGCATGGAGAGAAAGACAGATCAAGGGGTGCTCTACCAGCCCAGGACCCCAAAGATGCCAGAAAACCCCCAGAGCTAGGAGAGGCTGAGGCAGATCCACCCTCCAGCCCCAGAGGATGCAGCCCCGTCTCACCCTGATCTCTGCCATGCGAGGCCCCAGCGCACGGCACATTGTTCGTGGCCCAGGGAAACGACACCCCAGGGTCTCAGGTTCTGTACCCGTGAAACCTCAGCAGGAGGCGGAGTTCTGTCGAGTTCACACTGTCACCCAGGATGGAAGAGAGACATTGGCGACAAGCTCGTCACGTGGGCGGGAGTGGCACCCACCTGCACGATTCTGCTGAGGTGGCAGTCGGCGGCCAGCTCCAGCCCCTGCTTCTCCGCCCAGGCCTCCACATGGCCCAGCTGCTGGCGGATGATGGCGCCCCAGTAGTGCGAGCACAGCCCCGACTCGGGGTCAGTGACCAGCCTGTTGAACAGCCACATGTTGATGAAGTGGAAGAGCTGGGAGAAGAGCTGGATGGTGAGGGCCGCGTTGACCCGGCAGCGCCGCAGCAGCGCCATGGCCCCCGAGAGTGTGTGCAGGACGTCATCTGCAGAGACAGGCGAGGGGGCCCTGGTCACTCGGGAGTCTCGAATTGGCAGTAAATTTAGTCAGAAGTCACAGCAGTACCTGCCGGAGCACTTTGAAAATGCCACTCGTTCAATAGGAAAGAGAATGTGTTTTAAACACATAGAGGCATCAACTGTACTTACTTAACACTGAGGTTCGCCCTGAGACTTTCTGAAAAGGACAACCAGCATGAAACACCCAAATAAGAGCTTTTCTTAAACAAAACTGACTGCTGGTGGTATTGCTAGTAAAACTTATTGCTTTAACAAGAATGCCCAATCTGATAGCTTGTTTATTTTCAAAATACCTCCCTCTTACAAATATGAAATATTAAAATGAAGTGAAACAGGAGGGAGGGAGGGAGGGAGGGAGGGAGGGAGGAATGACTGTCCTGACCTATTTTCGGTCTCTGCAGACTGTTCTCCTCGGGGTCGTCCAGAAAGGCCGGCATGTAGTTATTCAGTTCTGACTGCAGACAGTGGACCAGGTACCTGAAAACACGCACAGTGTTCATGCTGTCAGCGCGAGGAGCTGCTGTCAGACGTGACACACGCGGACCAGCCTGCACTGCTCAGAAAGATTTCCTTAAAAAATGTAACAGCTTCACTCTCAGGATTCAAGAAACACAGCTCACCGACTCAATTTATCAAGTCAACACATTTGGCATAGTTATTTATGCTTCTTGACATCACTCAAACAGGGCAGACAAAACCTTTAAAATTAGTTTTGAAAATTTAAGAAAACATAATATGATTTAAATCTTTCTAGAACAGTGTCGCCTCCCCACACAGGTCCCATACTTAAAGGCCATCTGCACCAGGTGCGCCAGCACGTCCTGGGCGTCCAAGGTGATCCGGCTCAGGTCTCGGTCCTGCTTGATGAAGTTGAGGAGCTCGGACGCGTTGGCCATCCAGAAAGCAAGCGCCCCTGCGATGTTCTTCTGTTTCTGGGGGCAGAACGCATCCCGTGAGCCGCCACAGGACCACCCGAAACAACAACCACCAGCTGCTCCTGAAAGCTGCCGAGGATAGACCAGTACCTTCCCGTTCCACCAGCGCACTTGCCACAGATACCAGATACTTGCCGGGGAATTTGGGCCCACGCACAGCAGTGGGAAATCAGTAGCCACCCCGCTTCCTGGGCTCACGGAGACACAGGGCTCTAATTGGCTACCATTTATGAATCAATGGAGAAATGGGATATCGAGGAATCCAGCACCGAATCAGAGGTTGTGCATTATCTGGTAATCTGCGCGTACACACACGTATCCATGGTTACCCACAGCCACCCGGATACTCGCAGTCACTGGCTTGGATGCCAAGCAACCCAGTATCAAGTACTGATCTATCGCATCCTCTCCCGACCACATGTGCAGGCCAGGCAACCTCAGATGAGATCCAAAGGATAGGAACCAAGGATGAACGAGGAGAAGAGACAGAACTGTTGTCATTTCATATCCACACGGAAGTGCATTAAGCAGAAGTTATGAAATGCTGGTAAGGGCTGCACAGTCCAAAGGGGTTTAGTACTGCGTGTTTCAGCTGCCGGATGAGTGTTATGGACGCTCGGTCCGGTCTGAGCACTGTGTTGACATGGAAGCAGCATGAGAAACTCAGCTAAGCCAACAGAGCCAGGCTCAGTCCCACAGTAGGTCCTACCTGTTCAACCTGGTCTACTTCCTGGAGAAAAACAGACGAGGGGGATCAAGCAGAACAAGAGAAAGAAACTTGTAAACAATCATGATAGTTTAAAAAAAATCAACACTAAAACGAAGGCAGGACACTGAGTTCTTCTTCCCGGGTGACCTATCCAGCCCCGCCCTGACGCAGCTCCGAGGGACGAGGCACAGAGGAGTCTGTGCTCCTGACACTGGCTAGTGACACGACGTGAACTCCCCGAGTGGATCGCTGAAGTGACAGTGAGCACACGACACACACTGGTCTGGTGTCTTAGTGACCCCGTGCGCTGGGGCTAAAGGCCTGTCTGTGAGGGGCCTGTTCCCGTTACTGAGGAAGAACAAGAGAGACAGGAAAGCCAACAGAAACAACACATATAAATGCTGAAAAACTTGAGAATCTGAAAACATATAAAAACTTAAATCTAAAAAGTGAGTAAACTGGTTTTTGAACTTGGGTTTTTACAAATTAAAAATTTTAAATTACTCACTACCACAGTTTGTTTCTATAACATTAAGACTCCTCCAGCCCTAACCGGTTTGGCTCAGTGGATAGAGCGTCGGCCTGCGGACTGAAGGGTCCCAGGTTCGATTCTGGTCAAGGGCATGTGCCTTGGTTGCGGGCACATCCCCAGTAGGGGGTGTGCAGGAGGCAGCTGATCCATGTTTCTCTCTCATCGATGTTTCTCTCTATCCCTCTCCCTTCTTCTCTGTAAAAATCAATAAAATATATATTTTTTAAAAAAGACTCCTCCAATCATACACTAAACCTGAATCTGAAATTAAAAGACGGGTTTCAATCCTGGTGATCCCAGTGAAGTTCAAACTCAATAAGGAAAAGTCTGTCAAAGTCGTGATGGCAAGAATCTCATAACTTGAAACAGGATTTACAAACCCAAACATGATGGGAGACAGACAATGGCTCAGCTGGACAGGAAATCGCATTAGTCTATAAAATAACAGGAGTGACAAAATGGTGTCCAAATAAACTGACTTTCCTGTGGAATCTCTGTCCTCACTTGGATAAAGAAAGAGCCCCATCCAATTCATATGCCAATCACTCAAACATAAAGAAACAACATGTCTCTTAAAACATGGGCCTCTGAGGGAATTAAAGGTGAGTTTGGCTCTGGCTGGTGTGGTCCAATGGATAGAGCCTTGGCCTGCAGACGGAAGGGTCTTGTTGTTGATTCCCGGTCTGGGCACAGGCTGGGTTGCCGGCTCGATCCCCAGGAGGCAGCCGAGCCATCATTCTCTCTCATCATTGATATTTCTATCTCTTTCTCCCTTTCTCCCTGAAATCAGTAAAAAATGTATTAAAAAAAAAAAAGATGAGTTTGCTTCAAACCTTCCCGACAGGAGACAGACAACCTAGCCATCTGGGCGGCTACTGAACGGGACACACCTGTGCTCTAGAGCCGAGTACCAGCATTGCCACAAGACTCAGACACGTTTGCAAATCTATCCATTTACAGCGCCCATCTCCTCTGCTGAGAGAGCACTATCCCACCAAGAGGACACCTTCTTCCTGCCCCGGTCAGAGCTGACTCAGAGCAGCGCCTGCAGCGCGTGTCCCAGTGAGAAAGGCCAGGCTGCCACTATGCCCACAAGTGGGGCAGGAGCTCCTGGACACTCACCACAGCCTCATGGAGGCTCGGCAAGAGCGAGGGCTCCTTACAGCAGTAAAGACTCGCCGGTGGGTTGCTGGGGCCGAAGGAAGGGAAACGAGACCCGCGCCGGGGGCTGGGCTGGAGTGAGGGGAATGTTTCAGACCAGGCAGAGCTGGTGGTTCACAGTGCTGGGAACGTGCTAAATGCTACTGAATTTTCACTTTAAAATGGTTCATGAATTTCATCTCAATACATTATCATTATTTTTAATTCTAAGAAACCCACATCAAGTCGCAATACTTTCTCACAACTGCTATTGTAATTGTAAGGGTCTTCTTCATGATAATCATGTGACCATGTACAATTTACCTTCCCTTATTCTCAAGTTTGTGGGGAAGAAATAGAAAAGACTTTACATTTCTTTTCAACTTTTAAAGCTACTCAGTTTCAATATAATACATGTAACTTTTAGGAAAAATTCTTAAGATAAAGTCAAATATGAAACCAAGTCTGAAGCATTAAAGAACTGGCCCTCCCTGGCTTACAGCTGGCCACGCGGGCTTACCTGGATCACGCCGTCCATCATGCTCACCATCTTGTTGACGATGGCGATCACCTTGTGGGTGCGCTCGGGGGGACTGACTTCCGGTCTGTACTGGCTCGACAATACGTACCGGCAGGCCATGTAGAGCACGTATGTAGGCGACAACTTAAAGTGGACTGTGGAGCTATTCGTGTAATTTATAATAGCAGATAAAAATGAATCTTCAGCTGTGAAGTTTCCCAAAAGAAGGACAAAAGAAAGAAAACATGAATATCAGATGGAGAAAAATGGACAAGAAAAGTTCACTACCAGTGGAATGTGAATACTCACAGCTCTCCCTGAACTCAATGCTTGCAGGCAGCACCAGCTCAGGCCCGGGAGCATCCTGCGTTCTGCAAGAAGAATGGGGCTCTTAAAGCCAGGTCACGGAGCTAACAGCATCCTGACAACCTGTGGAGAGCTCTGAAACTCTTACAAACAACCTCTGTACAGTTTTCTGGATAAGGAAGAGCCCACTGCCTCCTTTTCACATGTGACGTATGCAAATATTCAAATGAGCAAACAGCTGTCACATCCCACTGGGCACAGGCCAGCCCCTCTGAGTACCTGCTTCCTCGGGGAGAGCAGACCCGCCCTGACTCCATTATTAACGAGGCTTCACGCCCGCGCAGAGCCAGGCCGCTAGACACCTGCTGCGGCGATGGCTCAGGTGACAGTGAGGAGACACTGCTGGGGACACAGACCATCTAAGCCACCCTGAGCTCCACTCAGGAAAGGGAGAAATGCCCCGCTGCCCACGCCCTCTCTCCCCAGCTGAGTCAGACAGGAGCCCCGCAGACCCCTGCAGCCACGCAGTCAGCATTCTCGATGCTCAGCGACGCCTGCCTCAGAACACATCCTACTCACTCACATTTCTTCTCCAAGGTACATAAATTCGAGCCACTTTTCATCACTCAGCCTGACACTACAAAAACAAGGAACTGCCTAAAACACAAACAAAGAGAAGCTGTAATTTGGGAACATTCCTAATAACTAGCACTGTGCTCATGTTCATATATTTCCAGGTAATTCAAAGGTCAGGTGATGTGTATGAAAGAGTTCTTCAGCCTGCGGGACACCTGGCCCCACTGACAGGCTGTAAGGTGGGGGACTGTTGTATGAAATTCTTCCTTCAGTTACAAATAGGAATAGATGCACATGTAGGTGTGTGTCTACCAGGGCATATGTAAACATGTGATATTGTGTTGTACACTCATCAAAAAACATTTGAAAGCCATTAATAAGTAGACTTTTTAAAATGTATAATATAGCCGAAACCGGTTTGGCTCAGTGGATAGAGCGTCGGCCTGCGGACCGAGAGGTCCCGGGTTCGATTCCGGTCAAGGGCATGTACCTCGGTTGCAGGCACATCCCCAGTGGGAGATGTGCAGGAGGCAGCTGATCGATGTTTCTCTCTCATCGATGTTTCTAACTGTCTATCTCTCTCCCTTCCTCTCTGTAAAAAATCAATAAAATATATTAAAAAAAAAAAAAAAAACAAATAAAATGTATAATATAAATGTGTTTTGCCTTTCTGCAAAGTTAACTGAAAATTAAATAGTGGGAATTATAACGACTTACACTGAAATGAAAATATCTGTTTTTAAATATTGGCTTAAACCAAACTGAAGTCAAAACTGATTCAAATGAATCTTTTCAGCAACATTTAAGTCTAATACTCTTAGACAAATGGTAATGAACTGGACAGATTTAAGTATTTGGAGTCATTGGTATGTCTCCTCATTAAATAAGTTAGTTAAAATAATAAAGACTCTTCACAATGAAAGAAACAGCACCATGATGACCGCGGATCCCCAGTTACAGGCTGGTAACGAAGACGCCGCCACCTTCCCACAGCCCAGCTCCCATCCTCCACCCTCTCCCCCACGCACCAGGGCGAGGGAGGAGAAAATACGTGTGAGTGAACCCAGTGAGCACAGTCACACGGGTAAACCAAAAGCATCTTCATCACATCACATGCTTCAAATGTATGCCATCTCTGACTTAATAGCTTAGATTGAACTCAACAATTTATGTGTTAAAATGCTCTTATACTCACAATGTAATTTAAGTGCTCGATGTTAATGTGTCTTTCTTACACTGCCCTATTTATGGACATCTAAAATTGCAGGTAAGTAGTTATTTTCATTCAATGTCCATAAAATGGCCCTGGGTAAACTTTCGTTTGTTTCATCAATTTAACAAATCTAGTAAAAATAGAGAATTTAAATTCTCAGCGAAAAAATAAAGTGTCAGCAACAATTTAGTCACTCCCATCATTTGGAAAGATTTGTTTTGACTAAAATCAGTATTTTAAACATGCTTATTACAGGAGCTTAGATTTTATAAATGTATCAATTGAGCATTGCTTATACCAACACTGCATGTGAAAAACACAAAGACTGGAAATGGGAAAATCTTCGATTTCTATCACTGTCTTAATATCAACACACATTACAGTTCAAATAAAACCTTTGATAAATCTTTTGCAAAGCAAAATAATCTGACCTTGAAAAAGGTTACTTAATATGTATACTCACAGGATAAAATAATTTATGACATACGATTAATCGTCACCTGGCTATTTTAGCACCATTATCTGACTACCTTCCCTGTATTACGTGGACGCACTGACTGTGCTTATCCTAAGAGCATTATCCTAACCGATCTTTCCCTCTCACGTCTTCATTCACTCACTCAAACATCCATAGGCTCAGGACTATGATCCGTGCCTCTTGATCACCTTATAAATAAACAGAGGTGCTCCTTACAATACAAATATACCATTCTGCATCTTATTCTAGAATACACCACCAAACACAAGCACAGACACCGGAAGTAGACGATTTACTATTACGTCTAAAAAAACAAAGCCAGCACACTCAATGAAGAACCAAAAGCCCAGACCACAAACACGGTGCAGCCCTGAGGTCCCACATGAACCTGCAGTTAGTTCCTGTGATGGACACTGAGACCTCTGGCCTGGACCTGTGGCCGCCACCGCCTGGGTGAGTGACCACCAGCCTCAGCTGCTGGACTGAGAAGGAGCAGTCAGAACGGCGCCCTGAAACTCAGACTAGCACCCAGAGAGGAGGGGCGCCCCACAGGGCTGCTGCTGCGAGCGGCCGGGCATCCAGCTGCGTCGAGCTCTGGCGGAGCCGCGGGCCCAGCACACTCAGCACCAGCAGCTGCAGGTCAGGCCCCGCCACTGGACACATCGCCTGCTAACCGCCACGCTGGAGGCACTGACCGTAACTTCCCATGGCCGCAATGGCAGAGACCCCAAGGAAGTAGAACTGAGGTACAAGTGACACAGAATTTAAGGATCACGAGGAAAGGAAGTAACAAAAGGCAGTGCTCTGTGCAAACACCGGCAGGACCAAGGCAGGAAGGAACACTGACTCCGCCCCAGGTCTCACCGGGAGCAGGAGGGGGAGCGGGAGGGCAAGCGGGAGGGCGAGCGGGAGGGAGGCGGCACCAGCGCCTCGGCTAAAGCTCCTGCAAAACCACCCTGGCTCTGCGTTGTAGACGTGGGAATTTCTTCTACGAACGGGGGAGGTGACCAACTAGTCAAGTCCTGGAGAAACGCTCTCCATGGCTCAGAGTGGCACACCTCACACAGAAACGCTGAAGCCAACACGCGTCCTCTCCGACCTGGAGAGCAGTGGACAAAAGGGACAACTACCAGAGCGTTTCCCACGTCAACACCATGAAACACTGCCTTCCTTGAACGTTCTAGCAGGTCAGCTCAGCCTCTACAGATGCGGTAGCTGTACCCCGACCCTCTGGGCAACGTCCCTCCTTTCCTAATGGAAAGCGGCCAGTCTTACCTGCTCTCCTGCCAGCGGTACTCGGGCTGCTGCTCCACGCGGACCATCGGCTTCACCATGCCCCGCTCGGCTGTGCTGCAGGCAGACGACACCCTGTCGCTGTCCAGTCGAGTGGAGCTCTAGCCAAGGGGGAACACAGGTGCTTATCAACACCACACAGGCACCGGCTTCAGACCCAGCGGCAGGCGGAGGGAGGCGCGGTGAGCGAGCGGGAGGAGGGAGGAGCACAGCCGCACGTCCCCAGGGCACGCCCAGAACACACGTCATTGAGGACTAATGAGGCACAGCCACGCCCTCCCCAGGCCAGCAGCTCGCTTCACAACACAGGCACCCAGACCAGCACCAAGTTCTCCCAGAGCACAGGAGTCACAGGGGCCTTATTCCAAAAAGCCTCTTAAATCAGGACAGCGCGGATAGAGTACGTACAACAGGGAGAGTTAGGTCCTTTTATGGCTCATGAGTTTTAAGAAAGGGTTTTAAAATCTGCTCCTTGTAGCTCAACACCTAATAAAGAATTGAGTACAGAAACAGGTGTCTCTTGTCCTTAACCAACATGGGAGAAACACGTCTACAGCAACCAGTGCCGAACGTTTAACCCTTCCCACCAGTGCCCATTCCTGCCAGCCCGAGACAGGCCAACGGGTGAGTCCCCGCGTTCGGGAAACACCAGCACAGCAGCAATGGCTCACAGAGAGCCCTGCACCAGGCTGCCTGTGCAGGTCTCAGCACTCCTCTGACTGCAGAGCAGAGCAGAGATGAACGTCACCCTTGTCTTTGCACCGAGAGGAACCTGAGCCGGATGTATCTTTGCGTCAGTCCGCGTTTTCCGTAAATGAGAGCACGACCTTACCAAAAGTCACTTTCTATCATGTCATACACATCTAGCGATGTTTTTATGTTACAAAAGCGTATGTCTGCACAACGTTTTGTTGTCTATTCATCAAATTAAACCAATCCTTTCTGTTGTCACACAATAATTACTTCCATAAGATACACTGACTGACGGAAATAAAACTGGTCAGTGAACAGAACATACTTATAGACTGCAAAAATTTTATTTTAAATGAATATTCAGGTGATAAATTATGGTTAAGTTTACCAGGTGTACCAGTTAATAATGCAGATTTTTTTCAATAGATGGAGTTACACATATGTTGATATATATGCGATTTGATATGTATGCTATTTTGTTGTAGTGACAGCAAGCTTCAAAACTTCATATGTCAAATTTGCTGAAGGTGTTAACATCATAGATATTTTTAAGCTTAAAAATGTCAAATTTCGTGCCCCCCAAAAAAGAGCATCTGCGGGAAGTTTTAATTCATTACTGTATTTTGAAGAAAAGGTCTACTGGATACTTCGGGAAGCTTATGGTGGACATGCTCCATCTCAAGGTACCTGTGAGCGCTGGTTTAAACGCTTTAAAGGTGGTGATTTCGATGTGAAAGACAAAGAACGTCCAGGTCAACCAAAAAAGATTGAAGACCAACAATTACAAGCATTACTGGATGAAGATGTGTGTCAAACTCAAAACCAACTTGCAGGAAGATTAAGCGTTGCTCAGCAAACAATTTCCGGTCGTTTACAAGCAATGGGAAAGATTTTAAAGGAAGGAAAATGGGTGCCACATCAACTGGACGAAAGACAAATGGAAAACCGAAAAGTCATCAGTAAAATGTTGCTTCAACGGCACGAAAGAAAGTCTTTTTTGCATCAAATTGTGACTGGAGAGGAAAAGTGGATTTATTTTAAGAATCCCAAATGCACAAAATCATGGGTTGATCCAGGTCAACCATCAACATCGACTGCAAGGCCAAATCGCTTCAGAAAGAAGACAATGCTCTGCGTTTGGTGGGATCAGGAAGGTGTGGTGTATTATGAGCTTCTAAAACCAGGTGAGACCATTAATTTTGATTAAGAAACGACCATAATGGGCCAGAAGACACAGCAAAGTAATTTTGCTTCGTGATGACGCACCATCACACACTTCAAACCCAGTTAAGGACACGTTAAAAGATCTTGCCTGGGAGGTATGAACCCACCGCCATATTCAGCAGCCCTTGCTCCCTCAGATTCCCACTTGTTCCGATCAACGGCACACACACTTTCTGAGCAGCACTTCAAAGGGTACGAAGAAGTGGAAAATTGAGTCCTGAATGGTTTGCCTCAAAACAAGAAAAGTTCTATTGGGACAGTCTCCACAAATTACCTGAAAGATGGGGAAATGTGTAGCTAGCGATGGACATTACTTTGAATAAAAGCACTTTTGATGTTTTTCTTGAAATTACCGTGTTTTCTTTGATTACAAAATCCGCAATTATTAACCGGTACACCTAGTATATGTTACCATATTATGGTACAATCCACCTTGTTTTCAAATGATTTTCAAAGGAAATACTCACAAAAAAACAGCCAAAGGAAGGAGGACAGAAAGGATAAAGTATGTGTGTGTGTGTGTGGGGGGGGGGAGACAGGGATTTAAGTATGTTAAAATGTATAAACACACACACAGACATGCATCAAGAGTTCAAAAAAGGACCCATCAACAGCCAACTTAACACTGTGAATGAACAGTTTTCATGCTTTTACTTTTTTCAATTGACGGTTTTCTACGTTGACTGTACGCTTTATAAAAAGCTACAGTGTTTATAGTCGTATCTGGTCCCTGAGGCTCACCCACACACCACGCACTGCCTGAGCCCAGAGCACGGAGGCGCTCACAAGCAAGGGCTCCTTCCAGACCCTGCTGTCCACCCACAGACCAGGCGGGCCAGGGGATGAAGACTGTGCGCGACCGGCAGCAGCTGCTGGTGGTGCTGGGTGCGTGAGGAACAGGTCTTCAGGAAGTGACCTACGCAGAGGTCTGAGGATCGAGGGGAACCACGTGGATACACGGGTGGTCCGGGAGCAGCAGCCAGGCGCCTGCGTGCAGGGACGGAGCCGTGGCCAGCCCATGCTCGGCTGGAGGCAGCGGGCAGGTCCCGGGGAGCTGTGTAACTGGGCGAGGACTGCGCCATCTCTGGGATAAGAAAGGCCTGGGCCTTTGAACAAGGGGCAGTAACAAGACTTCACTTCCATTCGGGAAGCATGGGCCTGGCTGCGGGGAGGAGAGGGGCCCGGGTAGCACATGAGAGAGGCAGCTACTGAGGAGCTATGTGTGCTGCTCTGACGACCGCGCGGGGTGGGAAAGGCGGACACGGGACATTTCCCAGGTGGAGCAGGGAGAACGGGCCGATGCTGGATGTGGAGGCTGCGAGAAGGAAAAGCGTGAGGAGCGCTGGCCGCAGACTCCCGGGCCAGCGCCAAGGAGGCACCGTTCACTGAGATGGGGAGGGCCAGGGAAGCAGAGGCCGGACAGGGAGAACCCAGTGTTGAGCTGAGTTAACCGAGATACATATCCGCACCCCCTGGACAGGTCGACCAGCCAGAGGTCAGGGCCAAGGTCAGACTCAGGAGTAATTAACACACAGCTGGTATTCTAACTCGGGCAACTGCGCCGGGTCACCCAGGGAACACGGATCGACAGAGGGAAGGGTTCCAGGTCTGATGCCCCCAAACTTCAGATGTGAAGCCGGGGAGGAACCAACAGGTCAGCGTGAGGAGGAAGGAGAACCCACGTGGGAAGGAACGGAAGGGGACGCCCTGGGCGGTGACCCAGCGAAGACAGATGGAAGTAGCAGATGACAACCTGGAGGACCTCAGCACCCGTGACAGACAGTCCCCATGAGGGAGCAGGAGCCAATGAGAGCCGAGGAACGAAGAGGGGTCAGAGGAAGAGCTGTTTCTTCAAGAAAGCATGCTGTGAGCAGGAGCAGACAGCTGGGCAGGCGCCGGGGACAGCAAGCTTCTCCCCGATGCTGGTGAGAACGCCCCCCGGCCTGGAGACTGCTGCGTGCAGCCCCAGGACGCCCCAGCCTGCGCAGGGCCTGCGCTCTGCTTCACCCACAGGCCCGTGGAGGAGCCATGCCCTGCCAGCTCCCGCCTGAGCCTTCGGGAGACCTGCAAACCCCGCAGCTCCTGGGAGGCCCCAGGACGTCTGGTTGCCATGGAGACGACAGGGCAAGGTCCCACGGAGAGAACCTGAGATGACAGGGAGATGGGAGGCCCAGCAGGCCCCGTGTCCCAGCACAGCCTGGCCACCAACGAACCCACTCGCTGAACACGGCCACACAAGGAACCATCAGCAAGACCAGCAACTCGCTGCTCAGGTGCATCCAAACCACTTGCGTGACTGTAAGCAGGAGCCTGCTATTTCAGTCCAGGGTTCTGGGGTACCTGTTTCCCAGCAACAATAACCAGAATGAGAAGAGAAATAACTGATCACACAAGATAAGCCAAGTGCCGAGGAGGTAAGCTGACAGGTGGGAGCGAGGACCAAGGAGAGGGCTAAGGGGAGTGGAGGCCATTATCTTCAGGATCACCTGACCGAGAAGGGCTGGGCACACACAGCACCGAAGAGAAAGCACAGCCCCCTCTGCTCAGGGCACACACAGCCTGCCCCTGCCCCCGCGTCGCTGAGAGATAACACAGCCCACAGCTAGGACCCTGTGGAGTGTGCACAGCAGTGTATCGGGTCCACTACGATAACTCGCCCACGGTGCCTATAACATTGAACCACCACGTCCTGTCAGGCAAGATGCCATCACCTACCTTGCTTGTTGGCAACGCTGTTCCGCTGTGAATATCGCCTCCTAAGTCAAAAGTTGTCTCCTGAACACTTCTGCCAAGATAAACAGAAAACACAGAGAATGAAGACTCAAATGATCGGGCAGAGCCTCGTCCCAGGGACACGAAAGGACCGGTTAGAGGAATGCCCAGTGCCGAGATCTTCAGGACGGCGCTTCCCAGCAACGAAGCTGCAGGATGAAAGTCGCGTCTTTGGGTGTGAAGAGAGTGGAGCCTGCAGAGTGGCTCTGTGTGTCGCATCCTAAAGCAACCTGGCTCCCCCTTTCCAGGCGGCCGGATGCGATGGCCTTCCCGTGACGTGAGGCCCTCACAAAAAACCGAGCAAAACAAAACGCTTCTACCGATACTAAACACTCTCAAGATAGTCTTGTAAGCTACGTTTAAGAACAGTAAACGGGAAGGAGCCCTAAAGAAAGAAGCAAGAGGCCCACCCCGTGAGCCTTGAGGCCGCCAACGGCACCGAAAGGAAGCAGCCGCCTCAGATGCCAGGAGCCGCCTGCTGAGGCTGTGTGATGACTTTTATGGGTCCTGCTGCTTAGGCTACAGAGAAAGAAATGGAGAAATTTGTGAACATGTCAGCAATCAGATCGAGAGCTCGTCTCGTTTAATCAATTTATCAAAACTGCTAAACCATCCTCATGAAAACTAATTCAGAATATAAACAAACTCTCATTCTAAACAGGCAATAACCTGGGCACACGGAGACATAGGCACAGGTGGAGGGCGAGGGGAACAGAGGCCCAGCCAGCGGGGAACTGAGCCCAGACACCGGGACACCGACGGCGGGAGCCAGCGCTTCCGTCCTGGGCATCACCAGAGAAGTTAAATTCTCCCCTTTCTATGACGTTTAAAAAGTACCCGAAAGACAGAAATATGGAGACGAGCTGAAACGCTCTTCGGGTGCTGGGCTCCGAGAGGAAGCCGCAGTCAGCAAGGTCCCGGGGGACACCGTCCACGGTGCTGCCTGTGGATACACATCCTGGGAAGGCGCGGAAAGGAGGACATGAAGCAAGTGAACTGTCAGGATGTCTGGGGCCGAAAGCAAGACGCGGACGATGAAAATGAAGGAAAGGGCGTGTGGGCAGGACTGCGTGCTGCCCTCAGGAGCCAGGAAGGCCGGGCGAGAGACACAAGGGGGACGGTGATGAAAGCAGAGCTGGAGGAGGAAAGCCAGGTCCTCCCGGCCCTGGGCGCAGGGCGAGCTCGGACACGTGCTCGCGTCGAGCGGGAGCAGAGCCGGATCTTGAGGAGACGGCGAAGGCACTGCAGGTTTTCGGGGGAACGAGGAGGCCTGGTCCTTTACAGAAGCTGGAGCTCCAAGGGAGAGGCTAGACTCAGACCGCCCAGCCCATGGGCTCCCCGCCCCGCCTACGAGTGTGTGTGACGCTCGCTTCCTCCCGAGCGGACAGGCCGTCGTCCTCGCTTTCACCCCGTCCATCCTCGCCAGGATCATCATGGACAAAGAATGGGCAGGCAGAGCCCACTGCTAGCCAACAGCAGCCACCAAGTCAGTGACGCCGACACTGCAAGACCGACATGAAAAGACCCCAACGCTCACCGCCGCCCAAGTCTAGGCTCTGGGGGGGGTGGGCGTGGTTTGAGCAAAGGGAGGTCCGGGAGGGAGCAAGGAGGGAGGCGGTGTAGGAAACCAGCACAGCTGCTCCAGGCTCTGTTCCTGCACAGCTTTCCCTTCACGCACCCCCGGCTGCTCTGAACAGCATGAGACCCACACCCACCATCATGTGAAATGCACACGCACACGCACACGCACCTCCCCAAACAGGAGGCCTTCCTGCTTCCCAGGAGGAGCCCCTCTGCAAGTCCTCAGACAGGCACTAGGTGGAGCTCAAGTATAAAAGACAGAGCCTTCCTTGAGGTCTCCCTGTCCCCTCAGTGACAGGAAAAGGAACCTCAACACAAAACCTCCTTATGGAGGATCTTTTTTTCTTTCTTTTTCTTTTTTTTTTTTTTAAATATATTTTATTGATTTTTTACAGAGAGGAAGGGAGAGAGATAGAGAGTTAGAAACATCGATGAGAGAGAAACATCGATCAGCTGCCTCCTGCACATCTCCTACTGGGGATGTGCCCGCAACCCAGGTACATGCCCTTGACCGGAATCGAACCTGGGACCTTTCAGTCCGCAGGCCGACGCCCTATCCACTGAGCCACACCGGTTTCGGCTTTATGGAGGATCTTACACAGACACCGTAATCCTCACAGAAGAGCGAAGCAAGTACTGTTTGAAAGGATCAAACAAATAACAACATATTTTAAAATAACTTAAAAACTAGCCACAACCCCGTGTTAGGATGAAGACCTTTCTTTCTTCTTCTTCCCTCTGAAACCAACCAAATGAACAAGAACTGGAACCACAAACCCACTTTGAGTTAAAAATTACGACAAAATTAAAGTCACGTGACCGATGCCTAGTTTGGAACGCCTTGGCATAATGGAGAAGCACTGTGCCCTTCTTAGAGGCAACGCGTCTCAGTGAATTACCCGGGTTTGTGTCTGGGGCCCTTAGCGGGCAGGCCCCCGTCCACAGGCCTCTTCACCAGAGCGTGGTCCTGGCTGGGGTCCACGAACTTGAACACGTGCTGGGCCCCGAACTGCACACTCATCCCGCTCTGCAGCATGGTCGTCTCCGAGATGCGCTGCCCCTCCACGTAGGTCTCCGCGTCCATGCTTCTGGGAGTGACGGTGACCACACCATCCATGTTCGTGAGGTCGCAGTGATGGGGCTGAATTCCTGAACCAAACAACTAAAAACAGGAGGAAAAGTACACAGAATTTAAACACAAAATCGTAAAGCTGCGAGTCCCCCTTGGACGACGCACGCAGTCTAATCAGGTCTGGACCGCAGGCGCTTTTCAGTGGGTTTCCATCGCAGTGCAAAGATAAGTAAACGCTGTCAAACAACTGCACATCCCATTTCAGCAGCCAGGGCCTGGACTTAGGGCAGGCTATACCTCGGCACTAAACAGCACGTGGTCATTTAAGGACTGTGAGAGTTAGAGGTCAGTCTATACAGATATAAGATTACAAGCTCCTGTGTGTCTGTTTACTGCTGTGCTGAGGAGGAAAGGATGTCAGAGCTGAACCCAACATCGACAGCTGGCTGCCGTTTACAACCAAGTCCACCTGGTGCAGGATGCCCTGACTCTGCTAACTCACAGCCGCTGAGCTCGGGTTGCTAAGCGCCCGAGAACCACGCCCAGACAACACTTGCACTGTGAGTCCTGAAGGCCTGCGACCCCAGGTGTCGCCCGGTGATGGGCACCGTCTCCTGGAAGCAGGCCTGTAACCCCATCGCCATCACTGGGGACAAGCAGCAGTCTCAGGAATGTCATGGCACCCCACGTTTCTAGACGGGCAGTGTGGACAGAAGCCCACACTCTGCTCTTCTCACGCTGAGCAGAGAAGTGACCCCGAGGGAACAAGCTACTTACGCTTAAATATAGTTTTCATGTTCACCCATTTATCCATTCGCTCCCACCTGCTACCTCCTACTGAAAGGTGAGAATCACAAAACGCGCACCTGGATAGAGCTGTCGTCAAACTTGTCTGTCCCGACCTCAGTCACACTGAGCTGCAGGCGGTAGAGCTTGGGCTTGTCTCTGGAGTCAGATCCGTCTGTGAGAAACAAGTAAAAGGTCACCTTAGAAGCGACACCACACTCCTTCCAAATTCACAGCATGCGACTTAACGGGACACAGAAAACGCAACTAAACACATGAACACATCAGCTTCTGTTGAGAATCATTCAAGGTGCTAAACACTGTCATTCATACCGACATTTTCTCATCAGATAACAAGCATGTCTCTCCTCCCCCCACCCCCACCCTGGGTTTTGTTAATGACTCTGGGGAGTGATCCTATCACCCAGCAAAGGTCATCACAGACCCAGGGCCTTCCCTGAGACCAGGTCCCTCTGTCAGTGAACCTGCCCTCTACCCGCACCGGCCACTCAGCTGTGGGCACGGCTGGACCCCTGAGGAAGGTCTTCCAAGTGCAGCCTCAGGGCTCGCCCAGACCTCCTGGACCAAATCCTTTGGGGAGGAGATCCTATCCTCAGGGGCTCCGCTCCAGGGAGCAGAGCTGCGGGAGGACAGAGGGCCCTGGCTTGCTGGTGTCACTCCACCCTCTATAATGTGTTGGAACTGTACACGTCCCCGCGCAGGACTTCCATGATGGAGGTGCTTGGGAAGAGAAGTGCCAGGCGGGCTGGTTTGTACGCAGGCGTGTTGCCTAGGGCACCTACTCGTTCCCTCCTATAGGATGGCACCAGTCCAAGACCTGCTCTGATTTCAGAGATGCCAGAACAGGAGGGAACAAGCCCCAAAGGACCAACGGGTCCCAAAAGAGGTGGCCGTGGAGGCAGCCCAGCAGCCGCGCAACCTACTGCACGGACGGACGCCTGTGGCCTCAGGGCCTCTGACTAAGCCGCCAGCTACGATCTCTAGGCGCCGGCTCGGGGACGCCAGCGGGGAGGGCTTCTGGAGCTCAACACCTGGAGTGCACACTGGTTTCACGCTGTGGTGTGTTCTCAGCTCTTGGACACAAGATGCCGTGCCTACACCAGCTCTGTGCAAACCGTTGTGATGTTAGTGCGCACAGTAACACCCACAGTAACAGCCCATCTCGGACGCAGAGCAGAGGTCTGACATCCGGGCAAGGCAGGAGACACTGGAGCAGCACCTGACACCCAGGTCAAAGTGCGCTAGGAACCGGGCGTCTGTGCTTGCTCACGGCTGGGCCACCCTCATGACATGGTGGCAGCTCCAAGTTCTGATCCAAAAGGAGGCATCAGCACCACCTGGGCTTTCCCTGGACCGGCACCCCCACACGGCTATGACCCTGCTTGCTGCAGACACCAGGTGCCGGGTCCCTGTCCCTCCCTTCTTCCTACTGCCTCGCCTCCCAGCTCTTAGCTCCCTGTGGTTAGCTTTTTGGAGAAACCTCTCTATCCTGGTGCTCAGCAGTGTCCGGTCCACAGTATGCGTTTAATAAAGATTTAATGTCAGCCGTCAGTAATTATTAACTAAAAATAAAGAGACAGAATAATGCAACACGGTCACAGCAATTACAAAATCAAGAAAACAAAAGAAGCAAATAACTGATCAAAAACAATTATTTCAATACAAAGTGGAAAAAAACCAAGAGAAGAACATGAAAAGCGTGTCTATTTAGGGGAGAAAGAGAGGCTGGTGATGTGCTTGCTCGGGAAGGGCATCGTGCGAGCTCACGGCCATCACCCCTCTCCACGGCCACGTGCACGTCAGCAGTTAGAGCTACAGAGAAGGGAGCAAACCCCTTTCCCAGCCCCTCCTTTCTGACCACTTCAAAGTAACAACAGGAAACACCTCCACAGACAGATTGGGAGCCACCTCCATGGTGGCCACGGACTCCGAGCTACGATGGTGTGTGTTTGCGTTCGGGGAGGGAGGAAGAGAGGGGGACAGAGGCACGGAAGCTCCGGTAGGTGCAACCTTTCCTCCTGCAACAGCACGGCCGGCCCCTTGCTCAAGGGTGACGACCTTCGCACAGCAGCCGCACACACTCCTCGCACCGAGTCCTCAATGCCCCCCGCCCAGGCCCTCACACAGCAGCTGCACACACATTCCTCGCACTGAGTCCTCAGCGCCCCCACCCCCTAGGGCCTAGGCCCTCCACAGACACACACACTCCTCGCACGGAGTCCTCAGCGCCGCCCCCCCCAACCCCGGCCCTCCACGCTGTCCCCTCGGCAAAGGCAGAGCCCCTTTCCAGTGGAAAACCCTCTAAGAGCCCTGCCACACAGAGCAGTCTGAGATCTGCTCACTTTTAATTCTGTCTTAAGAATACGTGATATGTGCACGTGGTTCCCAATGCGAAGGGCACAGGCGGTGCCCAGTGAGTGCCCTCCCTCCACCCCCTCTCCCAGAGCCAGGCTTCCTTCCACAAGCCGTTTCATGCATCTGTCATTCAATAGCTGGAAAAGGGTTCCTCTTTCTCCTTTTTGGGGGGCAGCAGAAACGTTAGAATATTACTTAGGGTTGTCAAGTGAAATACATGACATCCAGTCACATGTGCAATATCTGAGATAAACTTACACTAAAAAACTGATGTTTTACCCAAATTTATGTGGGTGTCAGATTGTCTGCCAACCTGCGGTCCCTGAATCACTGCCACACGTGCTGCGCCTTGTCTGGCACAGGAAGTCCTCCTTAGCGTGCTGCCTACTAAGGGGGAGCCCCTCGCGGGCAGACAGGAGCACGTGTGCAGGCACGTGTTCCATCCATGGCTCTGCCCTCAGCGGCGTCCAGAGCCTCTGGGAAGCAGTGTGTGGTGCGGAGTGTGGACGCGGGCGAAGAGCCTCCTGCATGGCGGGCCCTGTGCTGGGTGTGGCAGGGGACCCGGGAGAAAGTGAGCAGAGCTCACATCTCAGTGAACCAACACAGCGGCGGAACCACTCCCAAGGGCTGTGAGGCTACTGAAAGCATCTGCACGGGCAGCCACCAGCTTCACTGGGAGAACATGACCCCTCGAGTGACGCTGGCGTGAGAAGCAGCGCATGCGGCCGAAGCTGCTGACACCCTCCATGCACGTGGTGTGAGCAGGGGAAGGAAAGTCCTGTCGCTCCATCACCTCAGAGTATGAAATTAACAAGCACGTGGAATCATTCCAGAACCCTCGTAAGATAACAAAAGCACGCCTGAGCCTCTGCTTTATGTATACAGAAATATCAAAATAGGTAAAAAGAATACCACCTGTTTATATTTTTTAAAAAACACACAACAAAACCCAAATTCCAAGTTTGGCTAATAGCTAATGAAAATCTGTATGATCAGTTTGGAGAAAATTAAACTAAAATAAGATGGTAAAAAGTAAATAAACTTCACAAAGCACGGAAAGTATTTGTTAGATTTAACAAGTAAAAAAATCTACTCTAATAAAAAAAAGAAACATGCAAATTGACCATACATTCACTACACCCCAAGCCATGCCCACCAGCCAATCAGGGCAACTATATGCAAATTAACCCAACCAAGATGGCGGCTGGCAGCCATGGAGCTGGAGCAAGCAGGAGGCTTGGTTGCCCCGGCGATGGAGGAAGCAAAGCTTCCCGCCTGCCCTGGCCCGCTGTTGCCTCCGCTAAAGGCAACAAAGTTTCAATTATAGAAGATAAATAAATCCCAGATACCTGCTTCCAGCCAGCCTCCACTGGGAGCTTGGGTGGCTGGGGGCCATGGCCAGCCTGCAAACAGCCATCAGCCCCTCACCCAGGCTGGCCAGGCACCCCAGGGGGGACCGCCACCCTGAAGGAGCTGTGGCCAGCCTGCAAATAGCCATCAGCCCCTCACCGAGGTTGGCCACACCCTCAAGGGGTGAGGGTCCCTGCTGGGGGGGCTTGACCAGCCTGCAAATAGCCCTCAGTCCCTCACCCAGGCTGGCCAGGCACCCCAGCAGGGACCCCATCCATGAAGGGGATGTGGCCAACCTGAAAATGGCCCTCAGCCCCTCACCCAGGCTGCCAGGCACCCCAGCGGGACCCACACCCTGATCCGGGACACCCTTCAGGGCAAGCCAGCCAGCCCCCACCCATGCACCAGGCATATAATAAAAGGGTAATATGCAAATTGACCCTAACAGCAGAACGACTGGGAATGACTGGTCACTATGACACACACAGACCACCAGGGGGCAGACGCTCAATGCAGGAGCTGCCCCTTGGTGGTCAGTGCGCTCCCACAGGGGAGCTCTGCTCAGCCACAAGCCAGGCTGATGGCTGCCAGCACAGTAGTGATGGCGGGAGCCTCTCCCGCCTCCTCAGCAGTGCTAAGGATGCCCAACTGCAGCTTAGGCCTGGTCCCCGCTGGCAAGTGGACATCCCCCTAGGGCTCCTGGGCTGTCAGAGGGATATCTGACTGCCAGCTTAGGCCCGATCCCCTGGGGAGCGGGCCTAAGCCAACAGGTGGACATTTCCTAAGGGGTCCCAGACTGCGAGAGGGCACAGGCCAGGCTGAGGGACCCCCGCCCGAGTGCATGAATTTTTGTGCACCAGGCCTCTAGTTTAAACTATAAAAGCAGATAAAAACAAAGTATTTCCATAAAACCAACAACTAGCTGTAGCATTTAAGATGACAAAGACGGAGATACTCAAAATCGGAGTAGCACGTTCCGGGGAGAAAGCACCGCTTGCCGACAAGAAGAGATGAGTTCGCCTGAGAACAAGGAGCCCTGAGGACAACTCAGGCCTGGAAGTAACATAAGCTCCCAGAGCACGGCTGGCCTCCCCTTCAGCCTCCCAAGGAGTCTCGGACCTGAGACGCTCCTCCCACCACCATCACTGCACCCCAAGGTCGTGGACGGTGCTGAACAAAGCACTCCTCCTGCCTGCTGCCTCTCTGTCTCTCTCACCCTGTCTCCTTCTCACTCTCACTATTCTCATTCTCTCCTTCCCCGTCCCTGCCTCTTCCCTCTTATTCTTGGGGGGGATGGAGGGAAGAAGAATAGGAAAATCGCTCTCTCCCTACTTTAAGTTCTCACTTAAGTCAGCCTAGTAAAGGAATTGGACATTTTTGCAAAATAAGTTCCCATTATTTTTAATGAATTCTGGATATGGAATGCTTATTAATGACAGTACATTAAGTGTCTTAAAATAAGTCATTCGTACCAACTCAACACCAATGCGCACACACACCAGGCTCTGTCAGCGCCCTAGCTAAGCAGCAGGAGCACAGCGTTACCTTCGTGAGCATGATAGCTGCAGTAGGCAAAGTGGTTCCTTCTCCCTGGGGTGCGCATGCAGAGGACCCAGGTGAAGGCAGCGCAGCGACAGAGGCCATGCGGGACATGAAGAGGGAGAGACAGGAGAGGTGAGCTGCAGTGAGACCGCTCGGCCGGGAGGAAAGCGTCCACCCCACCACCTTCAGGATGAGGACGGACGACAGGCCCAGGCAGGCTGTGTGTTAGAGACAACGGACTGTAAGGAGACACCGAGACGACAGGTGAGTCACCAGGCAGGAGAGCAGGGAGGGAGGCCTGGAGTCCACGCCCCCCGCAGTCTTCTGTTGAAAGAACAGAGTCAAACCCAAAGCAAAGCCTACAGGAACTTTTGAGCCCCCATTTCTCCAAAAGACAGTGTAAGCTGCACCCACACCTCACACACCTCAGGCATTCAGCCCAGCTGCGGACAGACCCAGTCTGATGACGTGTCCGGTGGAAATACGGTTCTCATCCATTCACGACAAGTCAACATGGATACATTACTTGTTTGACAAAGGAACACCTTCCACTTCATTCAGCATGCTGACTCTAAGAGTGAGCACTTAGAGAGACAGCAGGGCTACTGAGAAGAACAAGGTTTCCGTGTAAGACCTTGCCCAGCACTCAGGTCTGCCACCACTTGCTCACCCTGACAGTGGTCGCCGATCTGAGCATCGGGCATTTGTCAGACAGTAAGGCCATCCAACAGGAGGGACATCGGACCACGCACGCATGGGGACTCACCACACTGTGTCACCAGCAACTCCTGGGCGCAATCACTCAACGCAGGAGCAACCTCACTCACCTTGGAAACCCACTGCTCAGCCTAAAGCATTCGCTCGGTAAACGCTGACCAACGGAGCAGAAGGCCACGGACAAAGGACACGTATTAATCAGCATGTAACGTGCTGTTGCCAATATTTGTTGAAAAGGAGCACAGAAGTAAAACTTACCTAGTCTCTACCACTTTCCCACACCTACAAAAAATGTTACATATTCTCATCACCTGGGAGACTATACATAGGAAATAAGCAGTCAAAATAGCAATTCCTGCTAGAATGTAAGTTCCTGAAATCAGGGTTTAATCTGTTTGTCAGAGCACTATCTCCAAGGCCAGACGATGACATATAATAAGGATTCAATAACTATTAGTCAAATCAGTCAATGAACGAATTCTCAGCCTGTCTCTGCTACCACTCAAATCAACTTTCCATTACTCATTTGAAAACTATTCTATGTTGACTGCTATTTATCAATTCTCTCTGAACTAATAATACTTCTAAATCCTCAAAATTTTTGGTTTGAAGAAAATAATCATTAATTTCTAGCATGTAATGCAAAACTTTAAACAGACCCAATGCTCAAAGATCCTGACTAAAAAATGTTAAGTTCAGAAATAAACGGCCGTCTCACAGTTGCTAGCCACTGCCTCAGGCTCCAGGCACCAACACGCGCACACACCCTACAGACACACTGATACCGGGACGTGTCCAAACCACAGCGAGCAAGCGACATTTAAACAAACTGTTCAGCCAGAGACTGAGGGACGAAGTAACACTAACCTATTTCTCCCAAACAGCTGATGCAGTAAAAACCCTCCAACATCATCAGCATAAACTAGGACCCGCAGCAAACTGCCACCGAGCACCGACTGCCAGTACCCAGCAAAGCAGCACCGTTTCTCCTGCATCGATGCAGCCGGCCGGACCATCGCACCATGTCTAACCAGCAGTCATAACCTTGCAAACAAACGCACACTTAAGAATGAAAAGAGAGAATGACAGAACACCTACCCAGAGAACCATGGGTTGCCTATGCATCTGGCTTGGTTTCCAGCTCCCTTTTTCTGTGATTGCTAACGGCCTGTAGTTAAACACAGTCTGGCCAGGGAGAGCCACCGCCTGTCTCGCACAGCGCAGTATGACACAGGCCATATTAGTCCTCAAACCACATCAACTCGGAATGATGTCGTTTATCTAAGTCATAAACATGCCATGTGTATCACATATGCAAACATATATACTACATAGGGATATATATGTAAAACGTTTAAGAACATCAATGTATTTCTCTACCTGATGGTTCACTTACAACAGCTTTGGCTTAAGAGAGCTCTATAAACAAGTATTTTAAGCCTAACAGGAAAATAAACTTGGTCTACTCTCATTTTGAAACCAGACGCCCTCCCTCTCACAGACAGTTTCTCCGCTGCACGGTTAAGTGTAAGGACATTCTTTTCAGACACTGTTCATACATCCAGCACCGCTGAGCCCACGCTGCCACTCCCGAACCTGCCTGGGAGGAGCCATCTCCGGCTGTCGGCTGGAGGAAGGACTTTACAAGGTCATTTTGAACAAAAAAATGTTAATGGAGATCAATTACACCTTTTCTTTATTCTCTATTACCACTATTTTAACTTTTTTTTCAACACCAACTTCTGCCTATATGAACTTTATTTTTATGCATGAAAAGTACATATCTTAGGACCTTAAGGTTTTGAGTGTTTTTTTTAAAGTAAATGTCATCTTATGAGGGTTATTTTTTAGAAAAATAAATGGTTTGAAACAGGTTGTCAGGCAAGAGAAAAACTCCTTTACAAAATGAACCGTTCTTTGCGCCTCACCTGGGCTCAGCTCCACGAGGTACGGCAGCTTCTCAGGTGGCAGCGCGGAGCCGTAGCCCGCCCCGTCGGCTCTCTCCTTGCCCTTCGCGGGCCGCCCGTCCAGGTGCTTCTTGGTTTTCCTGGGGACATAGTCTGGGGGCCTCCTCTTCAACTGAAAGACTAAAATCCCTGGAATAGAAGCAATGCCGGGTATGAACTAGCTGCACAGGAGTGCAGATGGCCAGCTCACCAAAGATGCAACCCAATGACATCTCCCAAGGCAAGCTGCGTGCACGCTTCCCAAGTACGCTCTACTCAACAGAGACAGTACAGTCTCTGGATGTGCTCTGAGACTCCAGCAACCAAGCTGCAAAGATTAATTCACATTATCAACTACCCAAGCACGTGGCATCCTTGAAAAGCACACATCAGTGTAAGAATGAATGAGTGTTTGTCTTGGTAAACAACCCTATGAGCAATAAATATATTCTCACACACACGTGTAACACACGCACACACACTCTATACACACAAATATCTGTTTAGTTGATATGATTTTTATTTAGTTCAACTGACTTAACTCAGAATTCAAAGGAATTTAACTTTAATAAAGCTTACCTGTATACTGTCTAGAAAAAGTATTGAGAGAGTGTACTTTTAAAACTACCAGTCCAGCCCTAACCGGTTTGGCTCAGTGGATAGAGCCTCGGCCTGTGGACCAAAGGGTCCCAGGTTCGATTCTGGTCAAGGGCACGTACCTTGGTTGTGGGCACATCCCCAGGAGGGAGTGTGCAGGAGGCAGCTGATTGATGTTTCTCTCATCAATGTTTCTAACTCTCTATTCCTCTCCCTTCCTCTCTGTATAAATATCAATAAAATATATTAAAAAAACAAACAAAAAAAACCTACCAGTCCACATTCAAGCACTGCCAGGGTTGACTGGCAGTAAACCTTTATGTATTTATTAATGCAAAGACCAGCTACACAGCAGGTAGCGTATCATGTGAACCGAGAGCAAGAAAACTTGTCCCATCAAGACACAGGGAACCCCTTCACTGCTCTGGAACAATGAGAGCCAACGGCCTGCAGAGTGAAAAGCCTGGGCTCATTTTTTAAATAACCGATTGCTGGACAACCTTTAGGGTGGCAGGTCGCTTTCCCTATTGGAACACATCTGCCAGTCCACCCAGTCATCTGGCCGGCACCGCGGGACTCCACTGCTGACAGGACTGTGACCTTCCACGCAGGCAGTGTGGGGGCCCAGCTTCTTTAAGACATGACACGCCTAGTGGAGGGGGACAGTCTGTTCCAGGTCTGCACACAAGCCACTGAATGTGGCCTTGAACAAGGGGACCAGGGAGGACAGAGAAACCCACCCCACAAATAGCCCGCAGGGAGCACAGCCAGGCTCCCCTACAGTCGGGCTCCCCTACAGCTGAGAGACTGAGCCAGCGGCTCAGCAGGTGCACACCCCCTCTGCACTCACCGCGGTCGCTGGGCCACTCCCGGAAGATCTGTAAGGGGCACTCGTCATCGTCAAGGACCATTTCCTTAGCACCTTTATCATCAGAATGCTGGGCTCCAGGAGGGAGCATAACCTAAAACAAAGCCATCCACTGTGACTGTCCCGCAGAAGTTAATCACAGGCATTTAAAGAAAGAGTCATGGTTTGGGGGTAAACAGAAGTCACTGTGAAAGCAAACTGGTCAAACACTCTACCTGTGCAGGCCAAGTAACACCTGGAAGGACATACAGCGAAATGTGAATCGCTGCTCCCCCTGATAGAACTATCGGCGACCTTTATTCCCAGCCTGCCTCCTTCCTTCCGTCACTTCGCACAGGAGCACGGTAACGTGTGTAACGGGAGAGGGAATGCTCTCCTATGGCTGTAACACATGGGTTCTCATTCTAAACTGCACAGGGGAAGGAATCAGCCCAGGGGCAGCTCACTGGCAAGTTCTCGCTGGCGCCTCGGGCGGCGCTGCCGCAGCCACTCACCCGGGCAATGCAGTAGTCCTTCGGGTTCTCCTTCTCCAGGCCGTACTTCTCCAACGCTTCGGCCACCGCGAAGTCCGCAGGGTCCGTGGTGGACAGCAGGATGGTCTTGTAGGGGATATTTGGTCGTAAACTATCTGCATAAATCCTCAACGTTCCACCTGGAAAACATCAGACGTCTCTGAGCACACCTTCACTCCAGTAACAGGCAGCAAGCGTTTGCAATCACTTAAGAAAAAAAAAGGGCGCCCAAGTTCTCGCTGCAATGGAGGCCCATAGGGAACGGAGGCAATTCCATCTTCATCTCCTACTGGGGCACACACGACACAGTGACTCTGCCACAGCGCGCACCTGGCAGGGGGACAGCGCACTCCTGGCCTCTCCAGCCCCGCTGGTCTCAGGACGGGGAACAGACTCCTGCGAGGATAAGGGACGGAGCGAGGAGGAAGCGAGTAGACAGTCCTGCTGCTTCCTCCAGGGCTGTCCCGTGTCCTCACCTTCCGCTGTCACACAGACATTCCCCCGTCTCTACCTTCTCACCATCGATCTGAGACAAATTAAAACCCGGATAAAGTTCATATGAACCCCACTGACTACACCAATTGGAAAAGACTGAACTGGACGCCAGGAGACGTTGGTGTTTCAGAAGGGACCTGCCGCCAAGCACTGGGCCGGTGTGTACTCCCAGGACTCACACCAGCACCCTTTCCAGCTGTGAACTAACTTGGGAGGGAAAACCAACCAGGGCAGAGCAACGCAATATCCTGGGATCTTCGTTGTTGTTTGTATGTTTTTAATGGAATTCTACAGAGATCTACTTTGGTGTCACCGTGTGCGTTCTACTTATGATCAAACTACCATGTGACAAGTTGACTCACAGTAAAAACACTAGGTCTCTAACGAAACCGCACTGTACTGGGCCACAGACTGCTGGCCCAGGCTGTCAACACGCGTGACCACGAAAACCCACGCAGATCCCGGGCCCCACTGTCACTGAACAGGCGAGTGTGCTTGCCTGGCATCCAGGTGTGAGGAGGTGCTGGGGGAGGGTGACTACCACGGAAACAACAAGTAACTGAAGACGGCGTCCACGCTGTGCGAAGCACAAGCCTGGCGGGGAGGAGCGCCCCGAGCTCCGGGGCCAGCGAAGGCCCTGGGCGGGGTCCACGCTGGTCAGGAGCCCGCGACCAGGCCTCAGAGCGGCAGTCCCCACGGGGTGTGCCACCAAGTCCTCGCTCCACCCTGTGTCCATACCAGCTGCTCCAGATTTGAAGCTTAAGCTACGTTAACGCTTCCTGAACCCCCCGTTTACACTCTTCAGCAGCTCATCCTCATATCCTCTGACACACAGAGCCCCCCCAGGTCTGGAACGTGGTTAGCACGCGGAGGTGTTAATGAGCGCTCCTCTTGCCCTTTTAAAAACTTTACCACCTTCCTTTTCCTTTTTCTGTTAACCCTCACCCGAGGCTCTTTCTCCATCGATTTTTAGAGAGAGTGGAGGGGGGGGGGGGAGGAGGGAGGGAGAGACATGTCGATTGGTTGGCCCTGCAGGGAACAGCCCTCTGTGAACAGGGCTCTGACACGGGGGCCCACACTGAGTCAGGACCAGACACGACATGCACTGTGAACAGGCCACGTCACCCGTTCACTCAACTTCGCAGGGCTCTGCTCCTAGACGGGTAATTACTAGCTCGGTTCACAACAAGCGACGGGAGACCAGAAGCCTGACCTGAGTCGGGCCGCCCGTCCGAGCTGCGGAACTCCTGCATCCTCCTCTCCAGCTTCTGCTGCCGCCGCCGCTTCATGACCACCTCGGGGTTGGAGATGGTGCGGGTGAAGCTGGTTTCGGGCATGTCTTTGTAAACCTCAGCAGCCAGGCGAGAATTCTCACTGTAAGAAACAAGGACACCAACACCACTGAAACACTTCTGTGTCAGAAACTGTTCCACTGCGACATCATCGCCGCGCAGCCACAGCTAATGTGGACAGAGTGTACTCTCTCAGTCCAAACTGACAGACCGAACTCAACAAACTTACAGTTCAAATCCTATGGTGAGTTTATACTGTTAATTACTGTGTATTAACAAAGCTCAGGAAAAGGTATCAATTATACAACTCAGCAATTTCCACCCATGTTACCCTAAAAAGAGTGACACAACAGCCCAACCCCAAGAAATAAGATGGACTGTACATGTTTTAACAACTAAAAGGTTCACCAAGGTTCACTTTCTTGAAGCTAAGTTTTCAGAAGGGAATTGCCACAACGGTTCCTATGAGGGGTCAGCTGTACAGAGGGATGCGCTAAAAACTAAATATGAAGGGAACACTGACGTACTTGACTAAAGTTTGATGCTACTGAAGATGACATTCTCAATCATACAAATAAATTTTTTAAAATATATATTTATTGATTTCAGAGAGGAAAGGAGAAGGAGAGAGAGAGATAGAAACATCAATGATGAGAAAGAATCATGGATCGGCTGCCTTCTGCACACCCTACACTGGAGATCGATCCCGAAACCTGGGCATGTGCCCTGACCGGGAATTGAACAGTGACCTCCTGGTTCATAGGTCGATGCTCAACCACTGAGCCACACTGGTTGGTCATCAATCATAAAAATCATTTAATTAACAACCAGTCTTTGATTCCATCAAGCTGAGTGACTTAATGCATTTTAAGTAGCTAATTTTCTTAAAAATAATATATCACATCTCATAAACTAAATGGATAAAAAAACAAACCTTTACCAAGGTTCTAAACCAGGGGTGGGCAAACTTTTTGACTCGAGGGCCACAATGGGTTCTTAAACTGGACCGGAGGGCCGGAACAAAAGCATGGATGGAGTGTTTGTGTGAACTAATATAAATTCAAAGTAAACATCATTACATAAAAGGGTACAGTCTTTTTTTTTTTTTTTAGTTTTATTCATTTCATACGGGCCGGATCCGGCCCGCGGGCCGTAGTTTGCCCACGGCTGTTCTAAACTCTTCTTTCCTTTGGTGCTCCTCACACATGAGCAATATATTTATACAAGTCCTTTCTCATGTAGAACCACCTTAACAAAGCCTTGCTATGTGGTACTAGACTCAGGATTCTTCCGTGGGCAGCAATGCCTAGCAGGTCAGCACTGAAGCCCACGGTAACACACTGAACCCGGGCTGCAATTCCATGCTAAATAAATGCCATCCCTGACTAATGGCTGATGTCCTCAATACAGAACATGCAGAATCAATCAAAAGTGGGGAAAAAAGGCCTGAGGAAGTCATGGCAACAGAAGCATGAATAGAAGCGGTTAATGAACACGTCGACAGACATCACCTTGCTAATGATAAAGTAAACTCTAATGACTGAAGATGTTCTAACTGAGAGCAAGCATGCTCTGGCACCAGCAGTGCTGAGGGCACGAGGAGCTGAGGGGGGGGCTCCTGGGGGCGCACCTGGCAGCAAGCCCCCGAGCTGCCCCCAGCCATTCTTCCCCAGCAAAGCCTGAGGGAACAACGAGACGAACCCCCACCGCTCTGGAGCAAGGGGCGTCACCGGAGCATTAACAGCACCAAGACCCTGTGAGCACCTACAAGCAGCAGCAGAGCTGGTCCCACCCGTTTTGGGAAAACTGCAGGAGAGAATACAGTGTGGCACTTAGATCACTTAGAACACCTATTTGTGACTACAGGCAGATCTGTGAATATATTTTAATGTGAGCTATAAATTACACTCATTAGTGGGGAAACGTCATGTGGGAAGTTCTAGTTCTGAGACTGTGACTATTTCATAAACAGGACGTGTGTGCGTCTGTGGAGCAGACACAAACTCTGGTCCTTCGGCTCAGGTGACGGCAGGGACTCCTTCCCTCTGGCAAGTCTACAGACTCCTCCTTTACAAGTGAACTCCTCCGCCCTCAGTGGAGAAACGCGACACACAGACGACTGCGCAGTCGGCACCAAGGCGAGCGGGTCTGAGCCCCGGCACAACCGGGGGCGACCTGGACAGAGAGCTGACAGGCGGCACGCAGACCTGGAGACCCACACGAGGGGAAGTCACTTCTCCCGACCTCGCTCTCTGTGCGAACAGAAGCGCAATGGCTCCGTTCCCTCGGCTCTGAGGTCAGAAGCCCACACCCCCGCGCAGGTCAGGACGCCCAGGACGGGCTGGGTGGCAGGCGGAGGAGTGGGAGTCAGTGCACATGGCCCTGTAAGGGACCGGGCTGCTCTCGCTGCCCGTGACAGCTCTGAGCGTGTGGTAAGCGTATCTGAGGTACATAAGAAACCACTGTTGCCTAAAGGACCTCAAAAGCAGAAATAAAAGAAAGGCCGGGTGCAGGTGAAGAGAAGACGTGGACAGCCATGTCCACTCGGAAAGAAGAGCACTGTGAACCGCTGGCCTGCTCACTGGGCGCTCAGTGAGCGACAGGTGCTGTCAGCCAACAGCTCCAGCAGAAGAGCCCTGTTCGCCCACATTCCCCCGACCGGACCGCCCGCGGCATTCACACCCCTGGCTCAGAACACAAAGAAAGGCGCGTCTGCCACATAACTCACACGTCTTCCCCTCGGAAAGGCCCGTCCTCTCTGTCGGATGCCTGTCTCAGGGCCTCTTTTTCTCGCTTCTTTTTCTCCTTCTTTTCTTTCTTGGAGAGAGTCCGCTTGAAGTTCTGGATAACGCCTTCCTTTTCCTGCTTTTCAGGTCCATTGCTCTGAGCCTTCTGACAGAAGGGACATGATCACTACGCTGGCTACGACAGAACCACGTCAAGCTCACCTGGGGCCGAGCCCGGCTCATCCACGCGCCGGGGCAGTCCTCCAGTTCCACTGGGCTGACCGTGAGCGCAGGCATCAACTCTTAACGAGTTACACGCCAATGTCTGTGCATCTCACTGTGTGTGAACTTTAGCACAACTCACAACTGCTAAGCAAACAAGCAGGCAAGTCCAGCAGGAAAACTGGGGTGAGAATCATGAAATCTGATTTTCAATAAATAAAAATCCAAATAGTTTACATAGAGTAATTTGAATAAAAGAAACCTAATGAAAATACAGAAATAACTAAGCATTATGTCATTATCTACTTTATAGTGTTTCTAACTTCAAAAGAAGTAAAGCAGCTGTAATAAACTGGCTTTTAATAAAGCAAAGCTGTAAGGATAGTTTGAGCAAAAATGTCCAATTTTTTTTCTGGATCTTGTTAATCTGCTTGTTCATTCTTACTTTGTAGCATGGCCTGCCAGCGGTCAGTGACCATTGCTATGCAATGTAACAGGGTAACAGGCAGGTCGCCGAGGAACAGAGCGGATGGCGACATCCTGGGGAGCAGCCGCCTGCCAGGAGGAGGGGGGCGGGGCCTACCTTGGGAGGAGCGGCGTCGTTCTCGTTCTTCAGGACGAACCTGCCCTCGCGGTCATCTTTATTCCAATTCAGCTGCACGACCAGGGGCTTCTCTTCCACATCCAATCTTCTTTCTTCTTCAGAACATGAAAGAGAACAGGGGAAGCCGTGGTTACCGGGCGGCTGTGGCTCACCCAACATCCTGACAGCGTTTAATGCGAGAGACAGAAGGATCACCTCGAGGCCTTGCTGTCAGGCTGGAATGCAGCGCAAATGCTCCGCGAGCTTTCCCACCTGACTCGGTGTCTGTGCCCTGTCTGCACACCACCACGCATCCAGTGCACACCTGGCCAGACACAACTTCCTCACGACATTCAGAACGGAACTGGGAAACACCAACCAGGGAGGAAACAGTTTCTAGAACCTTGCTAAACAAGCCTGTTTCTGGAAATGAAATTGTCCCATGGGCAACAGGAAGGAAGTGCTAACACAGCACAGACGTCCCACTGGTCCTTGAGGCTTTCCTCGCGCATTAACATTGCGCTTCAGGCACGACCCACGTGGCATCTTCAGGCGTGGAAGTGGCTGCTCTTCCTCCTCGCTCTGTGCCTCTGACCCTCGCCCCTCACATGCGCTTCCGGGAACAACAAGCTCCCACCTCCTGTTCTGTGCTGGGATCAAGTGCTCAGTTGAGTGTCCGTCTTCCTTCCTCCTCAGAACCCAGCCAGCATCGGGCTCACGGAGCCGGGAGAAGGCGGCCACTGAGGCCTCTGGAGAGGCCACCCAGCCTGGCCACCCAATAGGAGCCTCCAGGCGGCACAGGTCAACAGGTGCTGAGCACAGGCTGTGCTCCAATGAGGGCAGCACAGCTGGGAGGCGGGCCTATTGTGTTCCGTAAAGGCAGCCGGGGGACAGGGCAAGGTGAAGCATAAGCAGACCTACAGAGGCAGTTAGTGAACAGGGCGTGCAAACAGTAATGAAGCACAGCTCATTCCAAGTTCCTGTCTTATCCACTGAAAACATGAGAAATAAAAATCAGAGTGACAGATCAGTAACTGGATTAAGAAGTCTGAAATTCCTGCTACAAACCAAAATTACCATGATGTTGTGAAGTCTGCACTAGATAAAAGCCCTTCACACTGCAGGCTTAGAGACTAATATTAAGAACAATGACGGCTAAATCACAAAAGCAAACAGAACCCAGGGTGAGGTGCCCTAGCGCACACGTGCCCCCCTGAGTGCACGTGTCCTCACTTTCAGGTAGCTCCTGCCTTCCTGGATTTCCTACTGTTTGCCCACGGCTGGCATAAACACTTACTAATTTGTCTAAATCCAGCTACTCAATAAAACAGGGTGTTCGGTGTGACCTGAGGCCAAGGGGTGCCATTAAGAACTGCCTGACCCCCAAGGCTCCGTGACCAGGGGAGACTGAGGTCTGCCCAGAGGCTCCCTCCACCGGAGGCCCCGGTGGGACCCGCAGCTCTGAGCACCAAGGGGTGGAAGGACAGGCCGACTGTCCTGGCTGCTCCCTCGCCTCAGGGCTGGGGAGAGACCATTTCCTTTTCTTTTTACGCCTCCATGGTTTTCACCTCCTTACAAGTAAGACATTTTACTTTTTTATTAAAAGCAAATCTAGCCGAAACCGGTTTGGCTCAGTGGATAGAGCGTGGGCCTGCGGACTGAAGGGTCCCGGGTTCGATTCCGGTCAGGGGCATGTACCTGGGTTGTGGGCACATCCCCAGTGGGTGGTGTGCAGGAGGCAGCTGATCGATGTTTCTCTCTCATCGATGTTTCTGACTATCTCTCTCCCTTTCTCTCTGTAAAAAATCAATAAAATATATTTTAAAAAAAAGCAAATCTAATCTTAAAAATCTAAAGGAAAGCGGTTCTTTTAAAAAAAATCAAAACCATGCTGCTTTTAGATCTTAAATTCCCATCTTGCATCCTGTTACTGCAAAGACTCCACCTGGTGGCTTCCGCGGACCAACCGGATGCGGAGAAGTGGAGCTGTCTTCCTCTCCAAGGTCCTGAGCAAAGGAACACCCCCGCAGACACGCAGCCACGGCTGTCCTGCGTCACTCAGGGCCGGGATTGCTTGTGTAGGTGAGACCCTGTAACCTTAAGGAAGTACAGTGGGGCCTTGACTTATGAGTTTAATTCGTTCCGAGACCAAGCTCGTTAAGGAGCTCGTTAACTCAAATTACTCTATCAACTCAATGCAAAAAATCCGGAGAGAGACAGCTGGTATCTCAAAAAACTCGTTAGTCGGGACACTCGTAAGTCAAGGCCCCACTGTAATAAACAGCCGGCTGGTGTAGCTCAGTGAGCGTTGACCTATGAACCAGGAGGTCAGGGTTCGCTTTTGTCAGGGCACAGGCCCGGGTTGCGGGCTCCATCCCCAATGTGGGATGTGCAAGAGGCAGCCGATCAATGTTTCTCTCTCATCATTGATGCTTCTCTTTCTCTCCCTTCCTCTCTGACATCAATAAAAATATATTTTTTTAAGAAAGTAATAAACAACCATGGCCTACATTACATACCCCTGTCGGGGGGTGGGGGATGTTTGGCCAAACTTGAATTCCACAAGTTACAAAAAATTTTGCCCAATTTCAAATCTACAAAGAAAGCTGTATTTTTTAAAGTAAAAACAAACAAAAAATTAAAAAGGATTTGTGGATAGAACTTAACAAGTATTCAAATTAGGTTTGTGTTATATGCAATCCTTTATTTGCTGCATTAATTACATTTTTTGCAGATGACTGGACATTTCTGAAACATTCAAATTTGTAAATTTCTAATCAGTCCAATTTAAACTGTTACTTGATATAGATATATGGAATATTTTCAGATATTTCAAATATTAAAACAAGGAGAAATTACTAGAGCTTCCTCAGACGCCCTGAGTTCCCCACACAGCGATGGAAACGCGCTGTTCACATCACCACCTACAGGAAGGCTGGCGACCCATCTCACACACAACTGGGTATTGCTCACTGTGCTGTACATTCCACACGTGAGTGACGCCAACTATCTCTCCAAAAGCAAGGAGCACACCCTCAGCACGGTCTGTGCCCAGACTGTGGGCGAGTTACTTAGGAAACGCCACGCTACTTATCTTCGGAGCAACAAGCACGTGTAAAAGGACATCCATCCAACTTCCAACAAACATGTGCTGGGGATGCAGAGACCTTTCCCCGACATACAGCAGCTCTGCCGCTGCCCACCGCTCCCTGGCTCTCGGGAGGAAGCCAGAGGACCTGGGGAGTGGGGGCAGGGGGGCCTGCCTGGCAGGAGAGGGGACACTGACCTCCGCTGACGTGCACTTCGTAGAGCGAGTACTTGGGAGAGGACAGCATGCGCATGTCCGGCCGGAACTTCTCGGCCAGCGTCTCGATGACATCCTGCGTGGTGGCCGTGCTCGAGACCCGGATGCATTTTGTTGCAAAGTTCCCAGCCGCTTTGTCTTGAAAATAAAACCTCATCACTCCATGGAACTCCAGGTCCTAGAAGAAAACAAAATCATACATTTTTGAAAAACAACATTCTGAAAAGATCCCCTTTCTCTAACACTAGTGAATGAAAAAGGCAACTCACCACTTTTTTTTTAATCCTCACCAGAAAGATGTTTTCATTGATTTTAGAAAGAGAGGAAGGGAGAAGGGACAGGGAGAGGGGGAGAGACATCGGTTACCTCCCATGCACGCCCAACTGGGGACCGAACCAGCAACCCAGCTATGCGCCCTGACCAGGAATCGCACCCACAACCTTTTGGTGTATGGGATGACCCTCCAACCAACTGAGCCACCCAGCCAGAGCGATTCCCCACTTTTTAAAAACGTCTCCTTACCCCACACATCTGAGACAGAAAGTAAGAGACGGGGATTTGTCTTCAGATGTAATTATGTGACTTGGGACGAGTTATATACAATTGCTCTTTGCCTCACTGGTCTCCTGGGGAAGATAGTGGCTACAGCGCCGCTGCCGTAGTAACGGCCAACATTTATTGATTCTTCCGCAAGTGCCAGCTCCCCTGGGCGTGCATCGTTCTACTACGTCTTTACAACAACCCAGTTCAGTAGGTACTAGTAAACCCCACTTCCAAGACCTGGTCATGAAAACTCACACAGCTTAAGTGTCTTGCTCAAGCATTTATGTGACAAATCCAGCTCTGGATCCAGACCCAGTGAGTGCCAGTCCCTGCCTGTCTGTCCCTGAGCCTGTCCGTCCCTGAGCCTGTCCAGCCAAGATCATAGAAGCAGCACGGGAACGCCAGCCTCGTTTCTGCCGTGAACGTGAGTGAAGGAAACTGTAGAATGTGACTGTAACTAATTTCCAAAGTAAACTACTTGCCCAAATCAGCCTTCCCAGTGTCGACTGTTCTCAACACCTTCCTTCTAAACTGACATGGACTCCAGCCAGCAGCACTGCAGGCAGGCACGAGGGGGCGCCCTTCCCCTCTCGTCTCCTTCCTTTTTAACCAGGTATTACAGGTCACGTGGGTGAGACCACATGCGTCTCAGGCCCTTGCTGTGGAACCCAGGACTCTCGGAGGATCGCATCCCGCAGGCCTTTGTCTGCTGGCCACACATCATCGGGGAGGCGGCAGGGCAGGGCCACCTCCACCGCCGGGTCAGTCTTGGCTCCAGCACTAATGCGGATCCCGCTGCTCAGCAGGGGGCGTCCCCCCTCCCCCCCCCCCCGCCCCCAATACCCAGTCGTTCCATCCCCACACACACCCAGGCCATCCGAGCCTCGTTACAGCCAAGTCAGGCCGCGTCATTCCTCTGCCGCTCTGTGGCCGCCTGCACTCTCGGATGCCAAGCCTTGGCCACAGCGCTCAAAGCCCACCCAGTAGCTCCCCTCTGCTTTCCCAATCCACCAGCTACTCTTCACGGATAATTCGGACATGACAAGTATTGATTTGGAGAAAAGTATGAAAAACAGGATCTTAGAATGGGGTTAACTATATAAACGACATGAAAATTGCACTAGAAAGTGAGACAACAGGCACATTTCCACCCCCAAGCTTCACTCTGTCTGACCCTCCGCTCCCCACGGGCCCAAGAGAAACCAAAGCGAAGGGACATGCGTGTTGGGAAAACAGCACTGAGCACAGATTCTGGGCTGAGGTGGGGCTTGTCACGGGTGAATCAGCAAATGGGAGCTACATGCAGGTCCTGCTCTGGGCGCTGCACCTCACACACCTGCCTGTCCAGCCAGCTCTTCAGACGTCCCCGCTCCCAGCTCTGCGTTCCGCTGCGATCCTGAAACCTTCACACGGAACAACGTGCGTGAAAGCTGCTCCTGAACCCCCAAACTGTGTGTCACTCACACTCTCTGCACCCCGATTCCGGGTCCTCACCCCACCCTCGCCTCCACGGCCCACCCTCTGCAATCAGTCAAGTTCTGCATTCCTGCTTCGCTCTCACCCACTGCCTCTTCCAGAGGCCCCTGCAATACTTTAGAAAAAAACATACATTGAAGTTTTTATTATAGGAGTCCTATTTCTATCCCAGGACGCTGAGGCGTTCGCCACCACCACTGGAGTCACCTGTATTTCACGTCAGTCCCAAGCGTTCAGCCGGCTCCTGCCAACGCTCACCCTGCAGAACCCGTCAGACCAGAAAGGCCAGAGCCTCCAGAGGATCCCATCCTTTTGCTAAAAGACTAGTTGTATATCATTTGTGATGAGAACGAAACAGCTACATATACACCTACGGGTCCCCAAAGACACGGAAGCACCAGTTTCTCTGAGAATTGTCAAAAAACAATTCCAAACTACCAAAGAGTACGGGCACAGACACAGCCCCGTGCCTGCAAGGGATGCCAGCTGAGCGAGATCACAGGACTCAGGGAACTGGCGAAGGCCCCCTTTGGAGCAGAGCCCATGTCCTTCATCCCTCATCCTATGAGGCCCCTCCCAGGCAGAGGAGACTGCAAACATACAGTCCCAGCATTAATGTGCTTCAGCCACGAAGCTTACAGAGGAAGTGGAGATAAATGGGGGAGGGGAGGGGCGGAAAAAAGAGTAACCCTAAGGACAGAGTGTCAGCAGCAAGCAATAGCACTCCTGCCCAGAGCAGAGATATTTAACAATTTAGTTTGCCTGAAATAGCTGAGTACAGTTGTTACTAGAATATTCCCTTAAAAAATACTTTAATATTCTGTTCATTTATTCAGTCGATTCTAAGCTTGGCTGCTGTTATTTTATCCAATCTGAGGAGACTGATAAAATCCAGTTCCTGAACCTCCACACTGGGAGTGCAGTGACCAAACGACCAACACCAGGAACAATGATGACGAACGTGCAACGGAGGCCCCAGTGCCAGGCCAGAGGTCAGCACCCAGCCCCGCACTGAGTGGTGCTAGGACCACCCCTGCGGTGCCGGGCAAGGAGCAGGTCCTCCCATCACAGCTGGCCACGCAGCAGGGCCCACAGCTGCCAGCATTCCCGGCCCAGAAGCTGGCCTCTGACCGCCGTGCTTGCAGTAGCTCATCGTCTGAAGGGAGCTGGATGTGATGCGAGTGCCTCCCCTTCTGCAGACGAGGCCCAGAGGGGCTCCCGAAGAGCTAGGTGGATGCATGAAGAGGAGCCTGGAGTTCAGAGCGGTCTACGACCTGCCCTGACCGCCTGCCTGTCTCCCAGCCTGTCCCCCACGCACAGTGGTAGCCCTGGGGCCCGCAGCAGGACAGCGGCTGGCCTTTCACTGAATAGCTTTGAGTGAGTTTATGAGTACGTGAGTGAAATTCCCCAAATAAGCTTGTTTGGAGGAGCGAACAAACCATATCCGGCACCTAGCCATCACCACCTGGCCCTCGGTGCTGTCCCCCTCCTGCCTCTCCCACTGCTGTGGGAGCTCCTCCGACAGCCCGAACACGAGGCTGCACACACACAAAGAAAAGCATTCAGTAACAACATCCGACTCTCCCTTCTCCCTGTGTGGCTGTTTCCAACTGATAAGCCCTCTTGAAAACAAACCTTCACATCCCTAAGAAACAGCCTTGAGGTCTCAATGACAGGGCTAATCTATATACATAAAAGGCAAATATGTTAAGTATCCGACCGTTCGACCGGTCACTATGACGCGCACTGACCACCAGGGGGCAGAGCTCAACGCAGGAGCTGCTGAGCTGCAGTGACTTGGCAGTGGTGGTTCTTGGGTGATGCACCCCAAAACCAGAGAGGAGGGAGCCCGATTCCTCGCGGGGCCGCTCGTTTCCACCTTTGGCTGTGGGTTATGCTGTTGCTGGGGCACTGTTGACCCTGAATCTGGCTTACTGCACACTTACGTTTGCATTCCACACCCTGTACGACAGCAACTTTGCAGGGTGCCCTCTCGCACTCCGGGGATGTCCGAGAGCCGGTTTCGGCCCAATCCCCACAGACCAGGCTGAGGGACCCCACCTGCCGGAGGGACCCCGCTCACTCTGCAGACTCCGGAGAAGGACCATGGGAGGTTGGCTCCAGGGCGTGTCCAGCCCATCTCACCCAGTCCCACCCCGCTGGCCACCTTCTAATTAATTTCCTTTCACTGTGCACAAATCCGTGCACTGGGTCACTAGTATTCTGATAATGCTGTAGCCAATAATTATAATTTACAAAGACAGATGTTTCCTTCAAAAAAAGCACTCACTCCTTAGAGCTGGTTACACAAACCACCCAAGAGAAAACTGTATTTAAAATAAAAAACACAGTTGCAGGCCCTCCGATATGTCAATGAAGTGCCTGCTGTTAGCAGCTGCTTTCAGGACCTGCCTGCACCCTCGCCGGCACAGCTGGTGTGCGGTGGCCCTGTGTGCTACCTGCAGTCGTTTAACTCAACGGGCAGCAAAGGCCATACAGCCACCACCTGCTCCCTTCCTTCAGGTTATTTTCTGGCCTCCGTTAAAACTGCTGCAGAGTCACGCCACATGACCACCGAGCCAATGACCTTGTCAATGGGGTGTGATCACGTGCTCATCGTTCCCTGAACACTGCTTACGAGCGGCGAGTCCTGGGTTGAATGTGCAGACTACAGTTACAGCGATGTATTCCTTATTTAGGTGGGCGAAACTACAGTGTTTTTTCCAACATATGGCCTATCCACTTAAGCTTGCTAAAAATAACAGTGAATTAACAACAACAAAATAACCAGTTAATTTAATAAGCAAATCTTGGTTAAAAGCATTTTAAAATTAATAGGGTGTTAATTTTCACATATGATATACAGACCAGAAATTTTGTCCATTAAATCTGAAGTTCGTTAAATTGAGGTCCGCAAAATCAAGGGTTTACTGTGTTACAACAGAAATGAAACACTACTTGGAATTGATTTAAGGACAACTTTTAATGTTTAATATTATGAAATTACTAGAGAGCCAATGCAGGAAGCAAAAAGTTAAAGATGGAGATTTTCTTTTGAATATTTTATCAGTGTCTCATGAACCAGTGAACGCGACCATCACTGGCCTCCGCGCCGCTCTGGCAGGAACTGCCCAGGCAGCGCGGCCCCCTTTCGCTCGA